AGCTGCAGCATATTTAAATATGATAAAATGCAAAGGTATCCTATTTATGAACAGACTGGTTTAGTGAGACATCCTGCACAGGTTACTGGTAGAAAGCAGAACAGCATCCATGTTGCTGCATAACAGCAGGAAGCGCATTTCCAGAACACAAAGCAGCAGCAATCACCATAAGGACAAACTGAATGCTACACTCTGAGATCTTTGTGACGTGAAACTCTACTTTATTGGATCTGAAAGAGCCAGTAATGCACCAGAGATCAGTTATCTTCATATGACCTAAAGGAGCTGGATTCAGCTGGGCCAGAAGCTCATCTTAATGGGATGATACTCTGCTGCCATCTGCTGAAGAAATTAGCTCAATCTGTTGTAAGATCGGCCAATGACTCCCTGAGCAAACATTACCTTACGTCCCATAAATGCAATGCTAAAAAAAAAAAAAAAAAAGGGAAACATTCAAATAACACATTCTAGATCTGGATTAATTAAATTCTCACCGAACACTTTGTTCTGTACAAAGATAAATGTGCTGACAACAGAAATTATCAAGGGAAATCAAATTTATTAAACAATGGAGGCCTGGATTTGGAGACACACACAAAATTAAATAGTACAAAACACACTACAGGCTGATCCAACTTTGATGTAATGTCCTTAAAACAGGTCAAAATTAGGCTCATTGATGTGTCTGCTATCCATGTGCCTACATGAGCTCCGTACAATGTCTTGGCATGCTCCTGATGACTAGACAGTCTGACGTTGGTGGATGGATTGAGACATGATGCTCCAGATGTGCTCAATCGGATTCAGGGCTGGGAGCCCATAGCTGCAATGCCTTCATCTTACAGGAACTGCAAGCACATTCCAGCCACATCAGGTCTATCATTGCCCTGCATTAGGAGGAACCCAGGGCCAACTGCACCAGCATAGGGTCTCACAAGAGGTCTGAGGATCTCATCTTGGTACCTAATGGCGGTAATGGTACCTCTAGCAAGCACATGGAGGGCTGTGTGCCCCTCCATAGAAATGTCAGCCCACACCGTCACTGACCCACTGCCAAACCGGTCATACTGAAGGATGTTGCAGGCAGTAAATTGCTCTCCACGGTGTTTGCAGACTCTGTCACTTCTGTCACATGTGCTCAGTGTGAATCTTCTTTCATCTGTGAAAAGCACAGGGAACCAGTGGTGAATTTGCGAATCCTGGCATTCTCTGGCAAATGCCAAGCGTCTTGCACAGTGTTGGGCTGTGAGCACAACCCCCATCTGTGGATGTCAGGCCCTTATACCATCATCATGGAGTCGGTTCCTAACGGTTTGTCCTGGCACATGCACATTTATGGCCTACTGGAGGTAATTTTGCAGGGATCTGGCAGTGCTACTGCTGTTCCTCATCACAAAGGCGGAGGTGGCAGTCCTGCTCTTTGTTTTTTGCCCTCCTATTGCCTCCTCCATGTCTCCTGGTGTAGTGGCCTGTATCCTGGTAGCGCCTTCAGCATCTGGACACTACACTGACAGACACAGCAAGCCTTCTTGCCACAGGTCACATTTATGTGCCATCCTGGATGAGCTGCCCTACCTGAGCCACTGTGGGTTGCAGTCTCTCATACTGCCATGATTATGAAAGCACCACCCACATTCAAAAGCAACCAAATCATCAGCCAGAAAGCATAGGTACTGAGAAGTTGTTGGTGTTCCCCACCCGCAGAACTGCTCCTTTATTGAGTATGTCTTGCTAATGGCCAATAATTTTTCACCTGTTGTCTATTCCATTTGCACAACAGCATGTGAGTAAGAGTTGGTAAAAAATTAAAGGGAAAGTGTTTTTCCAACATCAGATTTTTATCCAAGTAATGGCTTCCTCTTAAAAAAAAAGTTGGGTTTTTTCAAAGAATATACTCTATGCATCAAAGCTATTATTTAATATGGATTCTACAGGTAAGACAGAATATTGTTTGGTGCCCCACAAAACATTTTTTTTGTGGGTAAAAAAAAAGCAAAACTCTTGGATGTCTCTGGAGAAGATGTAGTCTTGGAAGCAGTACTTGTTGCTTTAAAATCTCTGTTGAGCATTTCTATGACCACTAAAAACAACCACAGAAAATTCAATATTTTATTGCCATTTCACAAATTTACAAAATTATTTCATATATTAGGTGATGCAGCACTTTTTTTCTTTCATTTGCAAGCTAATGGATCTGAAGGCCCTTTAAAAAAACAACTATTCATGTGATGTTTTTATGCTGATAGATCTGTAACTGATGATTAACATCATTAGTGAAAACGAACTCCCTCTATAGATTCAGCTTAGTGTGAATAATTATTTATCAGTGCCACACTAATGAGCACAGATGCTCATTGTGGTGTCTTTAATTTGCATACATTATAGTCATCCTGCCACATAACAGTGATATTACTGATTATAAAGCCTGTGACTCAATGAGGTGTGTATAATAGTATGCAAGGATGAATTACTGTTTTTGACTACACCAACATATCCTCATTCACCTATTTTATTTAATCACAAATTATGGTCTAACTGACCCTATTCCATGACTCCATGGGCATATGATTGTTTTCAGGAGCCTAAAAGAGAAGATTCTAGATTCTGAATTTAGCTTTTAATAGGGTAAAGTTAGGACCTGCTGCTATACAGGGACAACAAAAAGTAGACAATAGAAAAAAAGATAACTGAACCAGAAATTACATACCCTAAATTATATGTTCTCAAGTTCTCAATAATTTACAACTTTTCCAACTTTTTCTGTAGTCCATCCTGACTTTTAAGTGCCTTTAGACTTTGCCTCCTAAAGTTTCCCATCTTAGAAACAGCTACAAACTGAATCAGAGTGTCTTATCAGTCCCCAGATTGTAATATTTTCTGTCCCACCATCTTACGGTAGGTCAGAAAAGTAACAATTGATGTCCACAGCCTTTAATTGATTACTCATGCTGCCACAAACTGTAGCAGTTGGAGTAATATTGCATGTTTTGCCAGTAAACAGATGGGTATAACAGAGAAAGCTGCTAAAAGAAATAGCAAAATCCTATACGCAAAGGGCAACTGCAATTTTACCTAAGCTTAAACATGCGGTAGCGTTCGAGAAAGGCAAAGTAGGATCTTTAACATTCAACCTGCAATTAAATATTGGGTAAGTCCGACTGTAACAATAGAAAGAACGCAGCATCACTGGTTCACTGGCTCAATAAATCCTTGAAATAATGGTTATGGGTAAAGATTTGTAGCTTATAAAAAATGCAGAGATCAGCTTAAAAACAAGAACTCATTCATTCTTTGCCGTCACTCATACCTGTTGGCAGAATAATTACATTGCAGTCCGCATTATTTCTTGAACTAAGGAGGTATGTGAGACACTTTCCCAATCGAAGAAGACAAGTTTCATTTAAAATCAGATAAAGAAAATGTGCATGTTATCTGATTATCTTCTCTTAAGAGTAAAAATATTAGTTTCATTGACAAATCATCTTATTTACCCACCTAAATTAAGGGCAAATACGCTTAAAACATTTTTAGTTACTTCTAGATCGATTTTTGTAGTGCAGGAAATTAAACATAACTCCATCTTAGATTTTATTCACCCCAGTTAAGTGTTTTGGTCTGCTGGCTTAGTCCAGACCAAAAATGGCTTTTATTATATCCGTAAGGTTATCTTTCAAACTGTACTTCTTGCAAGTGGACTATAACTTGCAACAAAGCCACGAGTGGGATAATCATTTCCTCTATTGGATAAAACCGATTAGGGCAAAACAGAGCATTGATCCAGTTATAAAGGAATATGACCATGGCAGTCCTGTTTAACATATTTTTTCTGTTATTACAGCTGCAAAATGACCCAAAGTGTCAGGAGCAGATTATTCTGAACAGATTTTGAGACATTTTGTTTCTAATTTTGGAATGGCGTCAGTGAATGCGTCAAGCAAGCCGAAGGAGATCCGCAGCTTGCTGGCAGTAGTGTTGCTAAGCAACAGACAGCGCACCAGGTATGATTTTAGCACCACTTTCACTACTACACTGGCTAACAAGGTTGGGTCTGATGGAGGCCAGTTTGGATGCAGGGCAGCAGTGAACCTGACCAGTCTCTTTGGAAGCGGAGCAATACTACCTTAAAAAAAGTGGATCTTAGCCCTGTAGTTAGGTCTGGATCAGTGTTCGTTTGCGTCAGTTCACACCTAAACAAAATCTTTTATAAAATTTGGTTTGTGGGCCATGATCTCTAGAAAAAACACTTATAATAATAAATATAAGAAAATAAATAAAAATATAGATATAACATAAAATATAAGAAATAATAATAAATACATATAAATATGAGATTTCAGATAAATAATGTTTCAGATGAAGGCTGATGGGACATGCTGTAAAAATGAATCATCTTCTTTGTTATTGTTTAACATGCATTTCAATTTTTGCAAAACATAACATTAAGTTAATAGAAAAATGACAAGTTTCCTTTTCACTTTTTCAAAGAGAAGAATAAGTTTATAATGAATCCAATTCAATATATATTGAGCAACTGTTTTAGAAATAAGTTGATAATAAATCCAGCTTAGATTGAATGTTTAACTTTGTTCATTTCATGTTCCTCCCTCTGACAGATGATGTTAAATAAGTAAATAATCCCTGCCACACAAAATTATTCTTAACATACAGGCAGAGTAAATTTGAATATACGCTTACAAGAGGATAATTTACATGCAGATATTAAACATACTTCTATTAAAATCACATTCATCTACTAAAAACACTTTTTATTGGTGACATAAAATAATCTTGCATGTTAATTAACTTTAATCAGAAAAGCATAATATTTAAATAAAAGGCTTAAAAAATATTAGATTTTGTCTAAGTATTTATATGTAATTGTATAATTGAATGTAATTGAATTACTGAAATCAATTATATTCAAATTTCTTTTCATGGATTCTTAAAACTTTGATTTGACTGCCTCCCTCTGGAGAGAAAAAAGATGAATACAAGTTATCTTGGTTGAATAAAGACACATTTTATTTTGTATTCTTAAAAGACAAAAAATATCAAATCCCCATAAACAAACTTGTTTTTTCCCCCATTGTAAAACAAGAGGTTACTACAGTACTACAGTCAACGTGTGCAAACAGGATAAGTGGGAGTCAGGCAGGTGATAAAACAGGAGTTCAGGAAGGAAAACATGAAAGGAATGTTAAAACTATAAAAGAATTGACATTTAACAACTTTATTTGTAACCCAATGAAGAGGGAGTGTTTTGTCTCTAAATCCTTCACACAAACTTTTTTATCAGAGGATTTGAGACCCATTTGACCTGTTGGCTTTCAGTAACAACGTGTAACTGTTTAGCAGTAACAATGAAGGCATTTCAGCAGCTCCTCAGATGTGGAACTCTACCAGGAGAACCCAGTTCACACTGGATCCAGGAACATCTTCCCCTCACTTGGCCTCACTGGTCCTTAATGCTGAGAACCGGATCCACAAGTTTATTATGAACATGCATTAAACCTGCAGTAAAAATAATAATTAAAAGTTAGACACATATTTCTGCAAGAGATATAAAAATAGATGATTTTTATTTAATATGGAAACATGGTTCATAAAAAAAATCTTATTAATATAAAATATTCGTATACACAAGAGAACAAGAATAGTTGAGATGCTTCTAATAAAGTAGTCAGAAAAGCATGGAGTAGCTCTGTTGAGCATCACATGCCCTCAGCTCTCTGTAAAGACAAATTAATAGGATTCAATGAAAATAATTAGGGCTGAAAAGATTAGCTGAATTAATCGTGATTAATAGATTATTGAAATAATCTTCAACTAATTTAGTAATAGATTAATTTTTAGTATAGAGACTGTAAGACATGAGTTAGCTAAAAGAGCAAGCCACTTAGAGCAGTTATTATACCGAAACCGAAAAAATATATATAAATATTTTATATTTAAGATTTTTTTTTCATTTACCTATATGCTCTATCCCGAACTCATGTGGAAAAGTTTTAGTTTCACCGGATTTAATCTTCTCTAGGATCTTTTTGCCATCCGATAATTTTTCGATTAATTGAAAAAATAAATAAATTCCTTGATTAGCAAAATAATCGTTAGCTGCAGCACTAAAAACTAATTTTTCCATTTCCAAGCAAAACCGACATGGCAGCTTTGAGAATTGACCAATATGATCTTTCTTTTTGTCCAATGTTTTTTTTTTTTTTTCTTTTTTACGGTTGCGCCTGCAGTGCCATTAAGAGGTCAAGAGTAATAGAGTAAACACTAAATACTGTCACTGTAATTTTTTTTAAATTTATTTTTAATAGTCTAAATTGTTAGAAAAGGTTTGATCAAGTTATATTACTAAAACAGAGAACAAAATTCAACAACAAAAGGAATGACTAACCCATGTAAAATGAACCAATGAGTTACAGAAACTTATAACAGAAGCAGTGTTTCTATCAACATGATAATATCTGAGATTTTAGATGCTGGTCGGAAAAATTAAATCTCTTTTTTTTTGGCAAATCAGATTGATATCCAACATTCTTATTATTATTATTGGGACACCGCTTAAAAAAAATAAAACTGCATATTCTCCAAGATAACTAAGTCATTAGGGGTTGAAGCAGCCTCATAAACACCTGATTTAGTTTGGACTGTTGTTAATGTGGTTATGGGAAGTAAGTAAAAGCCATTTTATCATTAAAACAAAGTTGGGGAATAGCTGGGAAACCAACTAGAAAAATCATAAGAGTTTTTGAAATAAACAGCAAATAGGCTCTAGTGAAATCAAATAATTATTTTTTTATTCTATTTTTTTCTATTTTAGAATTTAAGGCAAAGAAACAAACATCACATTATAACAAGGGCAAAAAACCCCAAAATTTATTTTCAAGAGAAAAGCCAATTGACCTTTTTTATTACATTGACTGAAAAAAGGGGAATATATTGATTCAGAAAACAAAGCATATACTCTGGATTGTAGGTTAATGGAGCAACGGGAAATCTCCAAGTCATGCTATCAAAAATGATGCATATTTGTAAGAATAAGTTGCAACACTAAAACCTGCATTTTCCCATTGATTTTATGATCTGATATCACACATCTCTCTGATTTCAAAGCTAATATAAGCCACTGTGAATGTGCTAATGAACAAATAACAATAAAATCCAATCTAAACCTTCTACTGGTGAGCTAAATCTCATCTCAATTAAAATTCTCTAAAAACTTTTCCTTTTGACCATTTTAGATACAATTTTCTTATTTTGTACAATTTTGGAAAATAATAGTTAACTAGAAAAAGCTGTTTCTGAGAAACAGCAAAGTGGGAATGCTTTTTTATGCTGAATGAAAAAAGAAAAATTAGCTAAAGAAACTGTATAACGTAAAAGAGGCACAAATTAGCTGAAGAACATATCAAAATGTGATAGGAAGTAATCAGAAACTTTAAACAGCAGAAACCAGTAGAATCATCTGAAGATTTTGTAGGATAGAATCATTTGGCAAAATAATGGCAGAAACACACTCATCTTAAAAGCAAAACATTTAAAGTTGATTAACCAGAAGAAAAAGTCCAAAAGTATCTGTTTACCTGGAAGTTGACAGAAGTAAAGCATCTGCTTACGATGTTAGCAGATGCTTTATTACAGTGGAAACGTTAGAGCTTCATTAAGAAATGTGCACGTAGGTGTGTTGTCAACAGGCCTTGGTAGTGTAATTTGAAGAAATTGGTTGAGTTCGGGTCATAGCTATGAACCATACGGCACAATAAATGAGTGTGCATAAGGAAGAGGCTTTTATTTTATCAGTCCCCATAGTCTTATTTTGAAAGTCTACCATGGTTTTGTGTCAAGGGAAGGGTCATGCCCAGCAGTGATATAGAATCCATTTCTAAATGTGAAATCACTGGTTTTCCATGTAATTGGGTAAATAGATGCTGTATTAGAGCGTAAATGGGAGACTTTTATCATGAAATTTGCTCTGGGGTGTGTTTTGAAAAGGTCCCTAGAGTCTAATAGAAACTAGTTTGTGGAGTTTGAGTCACAATGCTGAGCCATTTGCATCAATTAATACACCAGTATAATATAGAGGCTTTTATTTTGTAGGGTCCCTGCAGTCTTATTTTGAGAGTCTTGCAGGGTTGTGTGTTGAGAAAAAGGTCAGACCCAGCAATGGCACTTGATGACTTTCCAGCCATTAAATCACTCTTTTCCCCATTGCCTCCCTGGCAACAGGAGGCTTTTATTTTGAAATTTTCTGTGGGGTGTGTTTTGAAAAGCCCCCTAAGGTCTAATTTCTAAAAAGGGGTTGAGTTTGTGGCATAATGTTGAGCCATATGCTGCAACAAATATATGAGTGTAATGTAGAGGCTTTTATTTTGTAGGGTCCATGGAGTCTTATTTTGAAAGTCTATCAGGGTTGAGTGTCAAGGGAAGGGTCATGCCAGTAGTCATATAGCATCCTTTTCCAAATGTTAAATCAGTGTTGTTGTCCCTCCATTAAATTAATATGTGCTGTATACAGGTGCTGGTCATAAAATTAGAATATAATGAAAAAGTAGATTGATTTCAGTAATTCCATTTAAAAAGTGAAACTTGTATATTATATTCATACATTACATACAAACTCATATATTTCAGATGTTTATTTTGTTTAATTTTGATGATTACAAATGACAACAAATGAAAATCTCAAATTCATCATATCAGAAAATTAGAATATTGTGAAAAGGTTCAAAATTGATGGCCCCTGGTGCCACACTCTAATCAGCTAATTAACTCAAACCACCTGCAAAAGCCTTTAAATGGTCTTTCAGTCTAGTTCTATAGGCTACACAATCATGGGGAAGACTGCTGACTTGACAGTTGTCCAAAAGACGACCATCGACACCTTGCACAAGGAGGGCAAGACACAAAAGGTCATCGCTAAAGAGGCTGGCTGTTCACAGAGCTCAGTGTCCAAGCACATTAATAGAGAGGCGAAGGGAAGGAAAAGATGTGGTCGAAAAAAGTGTACAAGCAAGAGAGATAACCGCACCCTGGAGAGGATTGTGAAACAAAACCCATTCAAAAATGTGGGGGAGATTCACAAAGAGTGGACTGCAGCTGGAGTGAGTGCTTCAAGAACCACCACACACAGACGTATGAAAGACATGGGTTTCTGCTGTCGCATTCCTTGTGTCAAGCCACTCTTGAACCACAGACAGCGTCAGAAGCGTCTTGCCTGGGCTAAAGAGAAACAGGACTGGACTGCTGGTGAGTGGTCCAAAGTCATGTTCTCTGATGAAAGTAAATTTTGCATTTCCTTTGGAAATCAAGGTCCCAGAGTCTGGAGGAAAAGAAGAGAGGCACTTCATCCACGTTGCTTGAAGTCCAGTGTAAAGTTTCCACAGTCAGTGATGGTTTGGGGTGCCATGTCATCTGCTGGTGTTGGTCCATTGTGTTTTCTGAGGTCCAGGGTCAACGCAGCCACATACCAGGAAGTTTTAGAGCACTTCATGCTTCCTGCAGCTGACCAACTTTTTGGAGATGCAGATTTCATTTTCCAACAGGACTTGGCACCTGCACACAGTGCCAAAGCTACCAGTACCTGGTTGAAGGACCATGGTATCCCTGTTCTTAATTGGCCAGCAAACTCTCCTGACCTTAACCCCATAGAAAATCTATGGGGTATTGTGAAGAAGAAGATGCAATACACCAGACCCAACAATTCAGAAGAGCTAAAAGCCACTATTAGAGCAACCTGGGCTATCATAACACCTGAGCAGTGCCACAGACTGATCGACTCCATGCCACGCCGCATTGCTGCTGTAATACAGGCCAAAGGAGGCCCAACTAAATACTGAGTGCTGTACATGCTCATACTTTTCATGTTCATACTTTTCAGTTGGCCAACATTTCTATAAATCCTTTGTTTTTATTGGTCTTCAGTAATATTCTAATTTTTTGATATGATGAATTTGAGATTTTCATTTGTTGTCATTTGTAATCATCAAAATTAAACAAAATAAACATCTGAAATATATGAGTTTGTATGTAATGTATGAATATAATATACAAGTTTCACTTTTTAAATGGAATTACTGAAATCAATCTACTTTTTCATGATATTCTAATTTTATGACCAGCCCCTGTAAAGTGGCAGAGGTAGGCATTCCCTTTGAAGCTCGGTTACCTTGAGCTTGAGCTGATGCTTAAAGAGCCTGTCAGTGACAGAGAGAAAAGCGCAGCACTATTGTTCCTTCGCTCTCAGGCTTTTTTTGAATGGGAAAAACAGCTCTGAACAAATGATTGCTGAAGGCAAACCGTAAATGGTATCTAAAAAATTCTTTCAATCTAAGTGACAGCTATCCCTTGTCTTTAATAGGAGTAACTTTCATGGCTCTCGCTCATTCACAACTTTAATGGGAAGGAGAAATAAAAAGGTGTGTCACACCTGCTCCTCTCATTAAATAATATGTAGCTTCTTGTTAGAACTGAGCTCTCAAAAGCCAAACCAACCCTCCAAACAAAAAAATTATTTCCGTCTAAGTGACAGCTATCCCTTGTGTCCGATTGGGATACCATTCATGTCTGTAGCTCTTTTACAACCCTAATGGGAAGAGAAACATAATGGTTTGTCCCACCTTCTCGTCTGATTGGATAACATGCGCACCTCAGGTTCACTGAGCTTCCAGGTGCTGAAAAACCCCACAAACAAGTGGTGAGCCAAAGCTGTATAGGGTATTCAAAAACTTCTTTTACTATGGGTGTCAGCCATCCCTCGGCTTCGATTATGCCAAATGTCATGTTCCTACTAAAGACTATTTGGCCATGGTGACGATGTAAAAATGTGTTTTTTCCTAGCCTGAGGATTTTTCTCACAATCAACGTTTTCGTATACCTGAAAAAGTCAGCTAAACAGCTAAACTATAAATGATATTGAAAAAAAATCCTTCAATGTAAGTGCTAGTAGGGTCTGAAGATATTCTATACCAAGTTTCATGTTTGTACATCAAACAGTTTAGCAATGGCAGCGATACGAAAATATGTGTCGTTTTGGATTTTTGTCTGTGATTTTTGGAAAGTCTCTCTTTGGATTTCTATTGGGGAAGTGTGGACTTCTTCGTGGTCTAGGGCAAACTGTAGGAAAACTGTAAATCCCACACAAATGAGGAATACATTTCCTGAATCCTGACAAAAATACTTATGTTTTGATGTATATTTTTTCTACATAGAGTGAGAAATGAGTGAGTGAGTTGAAGCTGTTTGGCATGAGTGAAATGTTTGAAAACCCTAGAGTGACCACACTCTAGCAGCTGAACATTCCGTCCATAGACTTCCATTATAAATGTGAAAATCTGTAAAAATTCTTTAAACGTTTGAAGCTTCACTGAAGTAAACCTGTAAAAGTTTGCAAAAAGCTGAGTTAAACAGTAATAGCAGAAAGATGTGGAAACATTTTAAAAGTTGAATGGTGTTTCTAGCTGAAAGTATGCTGAAGTAGTTAAAGGTCAAATATGGTGAAGAGTTATCTGAATTTAGCTAAAATCTAAGAATTCTAAATGCATTTCAATGGGACAAAAAAAAAACACAGAAAAAGCTGAATATCGAGAAAAACAAAACAAAAAATATCTTTACCAAAAGACATAGCAGCATTCTCCTGAACAAGCTGAGCATTTTGATACAAAAATTGTTCAAATTGGTTGAAAACGTATGCATTCCCACTTGATTATTTATTCTTTTGTGGATATAAAAAATATTGTGTTGCTATAACTTGTTTGTCAATTTAAAATGCTTTTCATGTTTGAATATTTTTTTCTATATCATCAGTCACTTTGCTTTATAATAGAAGTGGATTAGTTTTTTATTATGTTCAATCAAAACCAATAGCTCTGCTGAAGTTGTCCTTAGTCCCATATAAAAGTGGAACCTTTGTTCTATGCCATCTGCTCAGTCTTATCCACCTGTATCTTTAGCTATGTTGCAGTCATGTGACCAAAGTTCCATTCAGTGGAAAGGCTGATCTGGGATCAGTGACTGTTTCCATGGTGATAGATATGACATCATCAGTCTAAAATTCTATAAGTAATTCTAGAAGCCTAGTCTAGTGCACAGTCCACACGCATTCTTGAGAGAACAGTTTCACTTAGCAGCACCTTGTTAAAAATAAGACAATGGAGAATATTGGAGCCAATCAACCTTCTAACGTCTTCCAAAGGTTTAACAAGGTCCTGAGCCAAGAAAATGAGGCTTTGCAGCAGGAAATTATGGAGCTGAAGGAAAAACTTCAGCAAGCTGAAGACAAAATCCAAGCGCAGATGAGGTCCACCTGCTGCCACACCAAAGAGAAACACCAGAAGGAACTCATTAACTTACAAATGAAATATGAAGACCAAATTTTCCACCTCAACATTAAACACGAGTTTGAAATGCGTTTGGCTGAACTGAAGTTGGAGAAAGCTGAGACAGAGCTTCAAAAAGAAAAGCACCTCAGATTTGAAAGTGAATATAAAAAACTGGAAGCTCTGGAGATCACACAGGCACTTTCCGACAAACTCCAAAAATTGGAGATGTCCAAAGGGTTTTCAGAGAGACGTGAGATGCATAATACTATCAGAGAGCTGCAAGAAAAGCTAGAAAAAGAAAGAGAGCTGAGGTTGAAAGCAGAGACTACAACCTTTGAACAGTTAGAGGCTTTGTTCGAAGAAACGGACAAAGATATTAAGAGAGAGAAAGATCTTCGAATCCAAGTAGAGGCAGAAAAACAGAAGGCTACAGAGATCATACAGATACTGTTCAACAAACTAAAAGATATAGAGAAAAGATTTCAGGAGGGTTCAGCTTCTGTGAAACTGGGTGACCTGGACATAATGAACCTGGACATTCAACAACTGGAAGAAGAGCTTCAAGAAAAGAGCAAAGTAGGGCTCCAGGCAGAAAAATGGAAACTAAAAGAAACTCAGAGCACATCCAAGGAGGTCGACCAGAAAAAAACTTCAACATGACATCCAGCAGCTGGAAACGTTGCTCTAAGAAGAGAAAAGTTTGAGGCTCCAAGCAGAAACTGAAATCTCTAATCATGTAGAAAGCGTCAGCACTTTGTGTCAAGAACTTAATCAAGAAGTCATAAGGGTACGAGTCTCTTTGGAGAGAAGTGAGGCAGAAAGGCTGAAGGCTGTGGAGAAAAGCCAGACCCTTCTCAGGAAACTAGAGATCAGGGATGATCACTAATACCATCAAGATTACATCCAATAGTTGAACCTGGACATTCAACAACTGGAAGAACAGCTTCAAGAAAAGAGCAAAGTAGGGCTCCAGGCAGAAAAACGGAAACTAAAAGAAACTCAGAGCACATCCAAGGAGGTCGACCAGAAAAAACTTCAACATGAAATCCAGCAGCTGGAAACGTTGCTCCAAGAAGAGAAAAGATTGAGGCTCCAAGCAGAAATTGAAATCAGATGTTTTTGGTTCCAAGCTTCAAATCAGAAGTTGAGGCCAAAACGCTCTTTTCACAGTGAGATAATGCCATTTTGGCCTCTGGAGTTGTCACAGACAAACCATTAATGATACAGCCATGATCTTTTCTGGCAATCATCTAGAGCTGAAAACTAACAATATAAAGTAGATTTGAGCAGATGTTTTTGGTTCCAAGCTTCAAATCAGAAGTTGAGGCCAAAAAGCACTTTTTATAGTGAGATAAGGCCATTTTGGCCTCTGGAGTTGTAACAAACCATTAATGATACAGCCATGATCTTTTCTGGCAATCATCTAGAGCTGAAAACTAACAATATAAAGTAGATTTGAGCAGATGTTTTTGGAGCAGCTGATTTTCCCACTCAAAAAAAAAAAAAAAAAGCCTGAGAGGAAAGAAACGAAAGTGCAGCGCATTTCTCTCTGTCACTGACAGGTTCGTTAAGCGTTGTCAAGGTAACCAAGCTTCAAAGGGATTTTACCTCTGCCACTTTAAACAGCACATTTTAATGTAATGGAGGGAGACAGCACTGATTTAACATTTGGAAATGGATACAATATGACTACTGGCCATGACCCTTCCCTTCACACGAAACCCGATAGACGTTCAAAATAAGACTCCGGGGACCTTTCAAAATAAAAGCTCCTACATTAAACTCAAATTTTTTTCCCCAGCATATGGCTCAACATTATGACCCAAACTCAACCACTTTTTAAAAAATGAGACTCTAGGAGTTTTTCAAAACACATCCCGCAGCAAATTTCAAAATAAAAGCCTCCCATTGCCACTTCATCTACTGCCCTAATAACAGGGAAAAAAAGTGATTTAACGATTGGAAAGTCATCAAGTATCACTGCTGGGTCTGACCCTTTTCTCAACACACAACCCTGCTAGACTTTCAAAATAAGACTCCAGTGACCCTACACAGTAAAAGCCTCTATATTATACTCGCATATTAATTGATGCAAATGGCTCTTCATTATGACCCAAACTCTACCAGCTTGTTTCTATTAGACTCTAGGGACCTTTTCAAAACATACCCCGGAGCGAATTTCACAATAAAAGTATCCCATTTACGCTTTAATACAGCATCTATTCACCCAATAACTTGGAAAACCAGTGATTTCATATTTAGAAATGGATTCTATATCACTGCTGGGCATGACCCTTCCCCTGACACACATTCATGATAGACTTTCATAATAAGACTAAAGGGACTCTACAAAATAAAAGCCTCTTCCTTACACACACGCATTCATTGTGCCGTAGGGTTCATAGCTATGACCCGAACTCAACCAATTTCTTCAAATTACACTACCAAGGCTTGTTGACAACACACCTACGTGCACATTTCTTAATGAAGCTCTAACGTTTCCACTGTAATAAAGCATCTGCTAATCTCGTAACATGCAGCCTAAGCCTGCCAACGGTGCTGTCATCAACACAGCGGCTTGTAACATGCAGGTTAGATTTTTTGATAAATTCAGCTCTTTCAGTGGTATTAGCTCTCTTTCTATAAGCTTCTCTCTCTGTCCTTCCTCTGCTTCTCATGGTCAGTCTTGCACATAGGTTTGTAGATTTTCAATCCTCTAAGGATGACACTGTTTTCTTCATGCTGATCAACCGACACATTTTAAATAATTTCAAATTGTCTTGCCAAGTCATGACATTTCCACAATTTCAGAATTTTGATACTTATTCAATGCCATCATCCTCAACATTTTACTTCCCATCCTTGAGCTACTCATATTTTTTTTTCAACCAGATAAGATTCAAGTTTTTCTTTGTAATTTCTTTTCTGATTCAGCTAATATAATATTTTTCAGCCTATGCTAAGAACTTTGGCTTCATTCTCCTCTCTTTCTGGACAGGAATTACCGTATTTTCACGACCATAAGGCGCACCGTACTAAAAGGCGCACTCTCAGTTATGTGTCCCATTTCTGTATTTAACACACACATAAGGCGCACCGGACTATAGGGCGCATTTTTTATATACAGGTACATGTCCTCTACTACCTTTAAATACCTCTACTGCGTATTTAAAAATACAGCGGGGGCAAAACTGAGTATGACTGTGCTTTATTCATGTATTTATTACAAAGTACTAATCAAACCTGGGAGCTGGCCGTGAGACAGACACATCGCAGATGACACAGTGCTGTGATTACTCCTAAATTAACTTAAAATCCTGAAACCTGCCGACGGAATATGTTCGCTTTTATTACCGGTGTCCTGGTGCCTGCAGTTTAAATTATTTAGATGGAAAACACCTGCCAGCCACCGCGTGAACCCGCAGGCTGCCCGGCCTAGAGGCTGCTGATGAAGGGATTTCTACTGTCGGTGCACCGCTGGTATGTGGGGGTCTGAGCGCCTCCGACAGAAATAGCAGCCTATAGGCACGATGATAATCTGGATCAACTGACTGCAATCATTAAGTTTTCAGGTGGACTTTCTCACTTAAAAACATATTAAAACTACTTTATTCCCACTGATCACAGCAAATATAGCTGCAAGATTTAGATTATTTAGATGAAAAAACACCTGCCAGCCACCGCGGTATACGCGGAGGAGAACCGGCCCATAGGCTGCTGTTGAATTAAGTTTTCAGGTAGAAAAATAGAGTACAAAACTGAGTATGATTGTGCTTTATTCATGTATTTATTACAAAGTATTAATCAAACCCATCAAAGTCATCATCCTCTGTTTCTGAATTAAACAGCTGCGCTAAATCAGACATGACAGTTTCCCATTCTTCGCTGTCAGAGTCACTTTCCGTGCAGCGCGGCTCCTCAGAAATAATGCCGGCTTTTGCGAAAGCTTGAACAACAGAGCCAGCAGACACGTTAGTCCAAGCATCTACAATCCATCCGCTAAAGGTGGCGTAACTTTCCCGGCGCTGCCTTCCACTTATCCTGAAACTGTGGTCTCTGTCTGTCACCCATCGCTCCCACGCCGCTCGCAGCCTTACTTTGAACGGCCGCTTCACACCGATGTCGAGCGTTTGAAGTTCCTTTGTCAGACCCCCTGGGATAACGGCGAGCACAGCCTTTTTCATTTGCGTTAATATCATATGTCATCAGAGCGCTGTGTCTGTCTCACAGTCAGCTCCCAGATCAGCTTCTCTGATTGGTTGATGCAGCGCTTCCAGCAGCAAAACTTAAATTTTTCCATCTCGTGCAGCAGCAGCGCGTTGGCAGATGCTTAAACGCTCCCGACGCGCTGCGCCTGCTGCTCAAAACGCGCTGCGGGACCTTTTGCTGCACCTATACGCGCGTCAACCATTGATTTTGCATGTAAACTCGCTGCTTCTGCTGCACCCGCTGGGTCCGGTTCACACCGATGTCGAGCGGTTGAACAGCGAGCACAGCGTTAATTTGTGTCCCCATGTTTTTCACATCAGCTGTGAGATGGGCACGCATGGAGTTACATATTAACAGCGATGGTGATGAGTGGAAAAAAAACACCTGGTCTCCTTACATTCAGCCACTCTTTCATCATCTCCTCAATGAGGTGGTCTCAAAAGTCGCAGTTACAACACACATAAGGCGCACCGCACCAAAGGGCACACCGCACATTTTGAGGGAAAAAAAGACGTTTAAGTGCGCCTTATAGTCGTGAAAATACGGTAAGCTTTTCTGTTTGCTGCTAATTCATCACACGCCTGACATGTTTCTGGAAAGTAGGTGGCCCCCCTTCAAAATTTCTTTAGGACTTTTTCTAGAAACTTGGGAGACATTACATTTAGACCCCTTCTAGTGCCCACATTGAACACATTTTTTGTATCATGTATGGTTTGGCAGTGCAGCTTTTAAGATGAGTTTGTTTCTGCCATTTTACTGCCAGATGAATCTACCCTACAAAATCTTCAGATGATTCAATTGTTTTCTGCAGTTTGAAGTTTCTGATGACTTCCTTTCACATTTTCATATGTTCCTCAGCTCGCAGTTTCTTTCACTAATTTTGATTATTTCGTTCAGCAAAGAAAGCATTCCCACTTTGCTGTTTCTGCGAAACAGCTTTTTCTAGTTAGTCCACATCTTTCTCCCTCTCCATTGCACTTGGACTCAAGACAAATTGAATATAACAATGCAGTGCAAAACATGAGCTCATAACACATTTTTGGCATCCAGGTTCCTGTGAATTAATCTATCATTAAGAAGCCATTCCCGAATAAGGACGGTTAATTAAATTATAAACCTACATTTCTCATCTTTGTTTACCTGATACTCTTGTCAAAACACATGCTAAGCAATTGTGTGAGCATGACAACAATCAACGTCTAATTCAAGCCTCTTGTGATTGGCTCCCTGTTTCATTCACAAAGAAAACTAAAACGTGTCCAAGATTGAAAGCTCTCCAGATTGGAACGTGACATCATAATTTTTCCGCTTTATTCACGGGGACAAACATAAAATTTCAGTAAGTACCTTTGAAGTATTTCACAGTTTTGACACGCAGTTCCAGCGTGGCGTCCTCGTCGCACACAAAGATGGTGTGCGGGTGCTGCTGGAAGGCCGACACCGTCCACATGTGGTTCACCCCCTCCTCAATGGCTTTGTACAGAGCAAAGGCCTTGTGAGCCCCTGTGATCAGAATCATCACCTGTGGGGGAACAGGAAGGTTAAACAAACAGGAGGAGGAAGGGTTGCGTCAGGATCTTCGATGTGTAGAGACAGAACATTATGACCTCCTTGGAATCCATTACGGTTCCCACTCCCACAGTGAGAGACATGGTGGGAACCTTGGAGAGGTCGTTCCCAAAGAAACGAGCGTTTGCCACAATGGTGTCCTTTGCCAGTGTTTTCACTCTGGTTCTGGAAACAAGGCTGGAGCCGGGCTCGTTAAAGGCGATATGGCCGTCAGGGCCGATACCTTCAGAGAGGATAAGAGAGACGAGAAGCTGAATGTCAGCAGGAAAGAATTCCAAGATCTGCTTACAGAAATTCAAAGTTAAACTTTATTTGGTTTTTAACATAGTGCATAATCATTCTAAACTGACCTTTTTCCATCAGAGAAGAAGGAACTAGATACCGTATATATATATTAAAAAAAAACTTTTTCCTTCTTAGTTTTCAACCTTGACGATTTAATATGCTGGATTTGGAAACCTAGACAGCCTTTTAAAAATCCCTGTTAAGTATACATATTTAAGGATTTAAAGAGGCCTGCTGTTTATGAAATGTTGGCTGCAATACCAGCTAATATAAGGATGTTAAAACAGCTTCTGTTGTCAAATCTGAAATTGTTTAAGTAATGTTTTGAAATAAAAACATCCGGCTTTTATTAATCACTCTAATGCACAATGTGCTGTAAATGGGTGCTTCATAAATAAATTGAACTGAATATGAAAAGTTTTCCGTTTTGTATCTAAATAACTAAGAACTACTTAAATGGAGCTTAACAAATTAATGTAATTAGTTTATTCAGTAAAACTTTTTATATACAAAAAGAAATTGGAATTGGCTGAAAGCAGGGCCGGCAGACCCCAGATTGTAAATCTCACATTATTACCTCCAACAAACAACTCAATCCCTCCGGCTGCAGCAATCTTCTGCTCATAGGCGTTACACTCAGCCTCTAGGTCCTCTGCGTTCCCATCCAGGATGTGAGCGTTGGCCGGATCAATGTCGATGTGCTTGAAGAAATTGTTCCACATGTAGGAGTGATAGCTCTCCGGATGAGCACGGGGCAGACCTGTAGGACAAAGGTTTGTGTCAGTAAGAGAGGAATACATCAATCTGCTTCAACTGATGAAAACTCTAAGCGAAGAAAGTTACAGAAAAGACTTTTATTTCTCCAAAGAATTTATTTATTGTTAAGGTCTCAAAAAAAATGTACATAAAAATAAAAATTGCTTTCATTCCGTTATATGGATGAAAATTTTGAAAAAACTAAGTATGTCAATAAAAAGATTTCACCAAAATCATCAAATCTTGCTCCAAATTGACTGTATTTTGTAACGTAGTATTTGTCCTGCTTTAAAGAAGCTGTTCTTTCATCTTCAATTGAAATTTCCAAAAAGGAGAAAAGAAATTGCCATGTTATATAAATATATATGCAGTGCATTTTATTTGAATACAAGTAGGTAAAAGGTAAGTTCTATTTAAAAAAAATGGAAGGAATTGATAAAATGGTGTATTCAATACAGCAGGAGAAACAGCGAGATAAGGATAGGAAAAACAAAGCCAACAGATAGTGACAGAAATCTGCATGAGTCGACAAAAACAAAAAATGGTGGGGGTGTGTTCAGAGCAAATGTAATCATCTAAGCAGATGGACAGTCATCCTTGGCAGAGATATGAGAGTTTTTTTTTTTTTTTTTAAAAAGCAGACACTGTGTTCTTTTCAGAGAGCACTGTTGACGTTTGTTTTGCCACGCTTTAAAAAATAAATCGTTATTTTTTTAAATGACAAGAAGATACTATGCCCAAGGACTCCTACATTTATCATCATTGTAAAATATCTGCACCTAAATCAGTGTTTCAAATTATTGCTTGAACTAAAATACATAAAGCCTCAATACCCTTCCATATGTCTATACAGCCCTGACATTTGTTTTGATCTTACTGAACTATAGACATGTATCTGAGTGCAGGATAATCCCCCCCCTTGTCTGTTTTATTTATTTTTTTTGTCTGTGTTTGTTTGTTTTCCTGTTGTTGTTGTTGTTGTTGTTTTTTTGCTTTGTTTTATATATGGTTAGGTGTGTGGATGAGTTTTGATTTGAATACAAAATTAAGAAAACCAGTTCAAGGAATTGTATTTAAATGCACTTAAATACACAGTACTACCTTTCTTGAATGAAAATATATATAGAGAGAAAAAGAATTGCTCTGTACAATACCTATAATTGTTCATTTAATTCTTATTATCAGAGAGATTGTTTTAGTAAGGCACTAAAAAGCTCCGGTACAAGCATCAGGAGGCTAAAACTAAGATTTCTATATTTTAAGCAGCCAATTTCTGATAAAACAATGATAATGAGATGAAATGTTACATTTTCCTTTAGCTAAAACTGATTTTGTTCCAGGGCTTCCCTGTATTCAGTTGCATCCATTTCCAAACTAATCAGCCATTCAGGCCTGCAGAAAAGTAAGCATTCCCACAGCATGATGCTGCCATCACTATGTATGTGACTCCATCATCCACCTCAGTTTACATAATCCACTATTCTACTACACTGAGACTTTTTAACCATTTTGTGGAGTAAATGACCCATGAATGACCACTTTATGTGGCTCCTCCTATTGCAGTGAATCACACTCACCCACATATTCATCCATGTTGAAGGTTTTCACATATTTAAAGGAAAGGTCTCCGCTTTTGTAGAACTCTATTAACTTCTGGTAACAGCCGTACGGAGTGCTGCCTGAAACAAAGCATATGATCAGAGGTAGTGGGAGCAGAAGCAGCCCTGCAGTGGGGTGGCTTCGTTACCTGTGGGTAAACCCAGAGTAAAGTATCTGTCTGCAGACGGTTTGAACTCGATGATCCTGTTCCGGATGTATTTAGCAGCCCACTCGCTGGCCAGATCATAGTCATCTAGAATCACCAGCCTCATGCTGCTAATAAAGCCCTAAATGATCAAAGAGAAAACTTCAACTACAACCAGAAAGAAAAAACAAGATCCGATGTTTGAGCTAACGTTAGCAGCAATTAAAACTCCTTCGGTAGTTTAACTTTAACTCATTTCTTGTTTTTTTACCCCTTATTAATTCTCTAGTCGCCAGTTTGGTTTTGCTTTTAGTACCAGAACAACAACAGGGAGGAGTTTACCTGTTAAACCTGATGTTTTAAATCCAACTGTACTCAGCAGCCAGCAGGCTCGGTGGAGTCACGTGAGCAGCAGCGTGTCAAGCGATTTTAAAGCGGAAACTATGGAAGTCCGTTAGTGTCAAAACTCAACCAAAACAATCAAATTAACCTGCAAATAAATAAATAACATAAAATAAAAAAACGGGAGAGGATGAGCATTTAGATTATACTTAGCATATTGTAGGTGAGTTTTAAATTAAACTTTATTACTATATTAATATTTGTCATTGTTAACCTTAAAAAGCACTTAGAATATTGTTTCCAAATTTACCATGAAGCATTAGGATTAGACAAAAAAAAAAAACTAAAAGTCATAATAATGGGAATAAAGTTATACTCTTATAACGTTATTCTCATAATATTACCAGGAGGGGAATAAAAACGTAATAATACGAAATAAAATTTGTAATATTACGACTTTATTCACATAAAATTACATGATAAAGTTGTAACTTTATGAATTTGAAGTCATGATAGAACAAAATTATCAGTTTATTAGTCTTTTCATAAAAAATATTCAAAAAATATCTGACCAGCACAAACTACCTATAAGTAATTTGAGCTCTGTTTGTGTAACATAATAGTCTAATAATTTGATGCTGATGGGCTAACAGGTTTAATATTTCCTTATTTGAAAAACCGATACAAAAATTTTTACTTCATTATATTCTCAGCAGTCCACGTTCCATGCAGGGGATGACCACAAAGAGTTCTAATTAAATAACATTGACTTTATTATCACTTTATTACGACTTGTCATGTCTTTATTCCATAATTCTACAACTTTACTATGATAGTATTACAACCTGTCAAAAACAAAATTCTCTTCTTACTGTCATACAGAATAGTCCCAATCTTTAGGAAATATCACAACATTCAATCCAGAAGAATTTAAGCTTCAAACTGCTCTAGTTGTTTACCAGAAACCATCCAAACCAATTTATCCTTGGTGCTTAACTTTGTATACAAGCGATAGATGGCAAGCATCTGATTCTTCTTACTGATGATAAAACATTCCTTTAACTGTTCACTCAACTGGCTTAGTCCAAAATTTATAGAAAGCAAATGAAGTTAATGTTTCTTTAAATATAATAATAAAATAATTTAACTTTATTGATCTCACAGAGCATCTTAACCCAACCCCTTGAGGAGCAGTGGGCTGCCACTGCGCTCGGCAAGCAATTGGGGGTTAAGGGTCTTGCTCAGGGACCCAGAGTGCAGGCTGTGAGAATCAAGCTGGGTATTTGCAACCTTCTCAGAGCACAAGCGCACTGCTCTAACCACTAGGCTACCCACTCCTAAGAATGCCTAAGAAAAATGACCCTTAAACATAAATTTTCCCCTCAATTACTTTGTTTTGCATAACGATATAACATCGTAATAGCGTTTCCAATAAACTGTTTTTTCTATTTGATACCCATATATATATATATATATATATATATATATATATATATATATACATGCATATGAATCCATATAAATACCTATACCCTGTATAGTCTAAAGAAGAGATTCCAGCTTTCATATGTAAATATATATATATATTTATATAAATATATATATATGGAGGTGCTATATATACTGTTTATATCACATCTTACTACCTTTGGCACCTTCTTCTTTTTGACTATCTCTAGCTGATGTAAGAATAAATTTCTCCAATGTGAGATCAATAGATTCAATCAATCAATCAAAATCACTTTTCTCTTAAGGGGGCAAGTGGCTGTGTTTAAATAGGGGAGTTCATATTTTTATGTACGTTTTATTTCATTAATTAGGAGCACCACTTGGTTTTCCAAATTAAAGCAAAGTTAAAAAAAATGTTTCTTATTCATTTACAAAAACATAAGGGGTTACTATACTATCTAACAAACCAGCAGTGTCAAATATGTAGTGATTAAAAGTCAGCAGCATTAGGTTTTTTTAAATTGCTGAACTATCAAAGCCTCTCCCTTTTAGAACGGCCTTCACATGTAATCCAGGACCACTGAGATCCAGAGTTCCTCTGCATGTCTTGGGTCAGAAACACATGTTCTAATCATCCAGGTTTCTATTGGATCAAGGTCCAAGTATTGGATTGGCCTGCAAAGACAGGTAGACTTGCCTGGAACAATGGTGCTTCTCACCTATTTGGTGTATATGGAATTATATCAAACCTAATGTCTTTATCATAAAATGCTTAGTTATTTTTGTAAACGGATCAATGATCCCCTAAGAACCCATACCATTAAATCTGAGCCAATTTTAATGTATAGCGAGTTGTGTCTCAGTCTATGCATTGATCCACAAAATGTGGCATCATACCTCTGTAAGCCAGAGTCTGTGTTGTTGATTGATTGATTGCAGTTTTGGTAGTTTTCCAATATTCATGTTAAATTAAACCCTTTAGTGTGTTCAAACATATGTCTTTGTGGTAGAAATATGTTTTGACACTCTGCTTTGGTGTAGAAAAGCTAAACAATCACTGAAGATCTTCAGAAACAATAACTGTTCAGATGACCAGCAGGTGCCAGAGGATTTGGTTTTATGTACAGAATTCTTTAAAGTTTCCAAAATGAGTGAAAACAATCAATAAAACTGAAAGAAATGAGGCAAACAGAAACATGAGTTTAAATTTATTTTGTAACACTCCTTATGAGGGAAGATTGAAAACCCAATTGACATATTTGAAGGATCAGAGTCGTCGTTTTATTTGAAGTTTAGGTATCTGGGACATGGAGCTGTCATAGAGGTAGAGGAGTGATAAGTAAAACTTTTTTGCTGCAGTGTAACATTAAGATGATGGTCCCAGGAGGAGACAGAGGCTGGATGCACCAGATAAGACAGTTCAGAGTCCATGTTACTCCTTCTTCTTGTAGTCCTCCAGGTGGGCCAGGATCCATCCAGATGGTCCCAGGATGGCTGCAGAAAACAGTCCCATTGCAACTGCAGTTTCCTGGACAAACGACAGAGGTGGAACAATCAGTCAGCTGAGTCGCATCAGAACAAGACTATCAGACTGAGTTTCTAAACAGGAGATAAGACCTAAGCATTAGATAAGATATCACCTGGTCCACAAAGGAGCAAGTGATAAATGAGGGAATACAATCAGAAGAAATAAAATCAGTTTTGTAGGCAAAGATTGTGAAAAAAAGGAATTTGACTCCAGGTCTTATGAACACACACAGGGTCCAATAATAAAGATGTCAATTTTAGAGGGAGAGCTGCAACTAATGATTATTTTTGCTTAATCTGTTGATTTTTTTTTCTTTCAATTAATAATCCAAAAACCAAAGATTCTTTAAAGAGGACCTCTTTACGAAACTGAACCAGGTGGAATTAAACCTTTTCCACTTGAGTAGTTCTGGATACAGTTATTGATTTTTTTTTTATTATCTTAAATACAAAATGTTTATATATTTCTTACATATATAATTACTGCTCTAAGTGGGATGCTGTCAGCTAAAGGCATGTTTTACAGTCTCTATACTCCAGTTAAAGGGGAACGCCGTTTTTTGGGGGTTTTTTTTACACTGGGCCCTTGATTTTACGTTATTACATCATGTTCTACTCACCCATATGAGTTTTGTGTCATTTGGAGCTGTTCTGAAGATATTCAGTTAGGTTATATCCAAGTAACGTCTTCCTTTGGGCAAACAACTTGAAGGCACAAACTAAACTGTCCATAATTTATCATTTAAGGTACCGTATTTTCACGACCATAAGGCGCACCGGACTAAAAGGCGCACTCTCAGTTATGTGTCCCATTTCTGTATTTAACACACACATAAGGCGCACCGGACTATAGGGCGCGTTTTTTATATACAGGTACAAGTCCTCTACTACCTTTAAATACCTCTACTGCGTATTTAAAAATACAGCGGGGGCAAAACTGAGTATGACTGTGCTTTATTCATGTATTTATTACAAAGTATTAATCAAACCTGGCAGCTGGCCGTGAGACAGACACATCGCAGATGACACAGCGCTGTGGTCACTCCTAAATTAACTTAAAATCCTGAAACCTGCTGACGGAATATGTTCGCTTTTATTGCCGGTATCCTGGTGCCTGCAGCTAAAATTATTTAGATGAAAAACACCTGCCAGCAGCCGCGGTGAACCCCAGGCTGCCCAGCCTACAGGCTGCTGATGAAGAGATTTCTGCTGTCAGCGCACCGCTGGTATGTGGGGGTCTGAGCGCCTCCGACAGAAATAGATAATCTGGATGAACTGACTGCAATTATTAAGTTTTCAGGTGGACTTTCTCACTTAAAAACATATTAAAACGACTTTATTCCCACTGATCACAGCAAATATAGCTGCAAGATTTAGATTATTTAGATGAAAAACACCTGCAAGCAGCCGCGGTGAACGAAAGGATTTCTCCTGTCGGCGCACCGCTGGTATGTGGGGGTCTGAGCGCCTCCGGCAGAAATAGATAATCTGGATGAACTGACTGCAATTATTAAGTTTTCAGGTGGACTTTCTCACTTAAAAACATATTAAAACTACTTTATTCCCACTGATCACAGCAAATATAGCTGCAAGATTTAGATTATTTAGATGAAAAAACACCTGCCAGCCACCGCGATGAAGAGGAGGAGACGCGCCGGGGATGCTGTTGAATTAAGTTTTCAGGGAGAAAAATACAGCGGGAGCAAAACTGAGTATGATTGTGCTTTATTCATGTATTTATTACAAAGTATTAATCAAACCCCTCAAAGTCCTCATCCTCTGTTTCTGAATTAAACAGCTGCGCTAAATCCGACATGCCAGTTTCCCCTTCTTCGCTGTCAGTCACTTTCCGTGCAGCGCAGCTCCTCAGAAATAATGCCGGCTTTTGCGAAAGCTTGAACAACAGAGCCAGCAGACACTTTAGTCCAAGCATCTACAATCCATCCGCAAACTGTGGCGTAATCTGCCCGGCGCTGCCTTCTTATCCTGAAACTGTGGTCTCCGTCGGTCATCCATCGCTCCCACGCCGCTCGCAGCCTTACTTCGAACGGCTGCTTCACACCGATGTCGAGCGGTTGAAGCTCCTTTGTCAGACCCCCGGGATAACGGTGAGCACAGCGTTCATTTGATTCACCTTTTTTTCACATCGGCTGTGAGATGGGCACGCAGCGATGGTGATGCGTGGAAAAAACCATCTGGTCTTCTCACATACACCTGCCTCAGCCACGCATCCATCCAGCCTTTTCCATTTGCGTTAATATCATATGTCATCAGAGCGCTGTCTGTCTCGCTGGCAGCTCCCAGATCAGCTTCTCTGATTGGTTGATGCGGCGCGTCCAGCAGCAAAACTTCAATTTTTCCATCTGAGCTGCAGCAGCGCTTAAACGCTCCCGACGTGCTGCACCAAAACGCGCTGCGGGACCTTTTGCTGTGCCTATACCCGCGTCAACCATTGACTTTGCATGTAAACTCGCTGCTTCTGCTGCACCTGCTGGGTCCGGTTCACACCGATGTCGAGCAGCGTTAATTTGTTTCCCCATGTTTTTCACATCAGCTGTGAGATGGGCACGCATGGAGTTACATATTAACAGCGATGGTGAGGGGTGGAAAAAAAACACCTGGTCTCCTTACATTCAGCCACTCTTTCATCATCTCCTCAATGAGGTGGTCTCAAAAGTCGCAGTTACAACACACATAAGGCGCACCGCACCATAGGGCGCACCGCACATTTTGAGGGAAAAAAAAGACGTTTAAGTGCGCCTTATAGTCGTGAAAATACGGTACATCAGCATTCATAACATGTAGGCGAATCACTGTCCCCCAGACATCCGCGGTTATAATTTTTCTATTTCTATTTTTTTTTTTTAACAAAGCGGAGTGTGTATAACGTCGGAAAAGTCGCTGAATATAGCGAAAAAGCAGCTCAGTAGGCAACTATTACAGTCTAAATGGTGCAGGGTTTACGTTGTTCCTTCATATCCCTGTCATATATGTAAATAAGGTGGTAAACGCATTTAAAAACCTTTACTATGGATATTACACTCATTATAAGTCAGGGTATCTGCATATTTCTGTTGTAACTCTAAAGGTTTCAGGTTAATCAGAGCCTGTGCTCGGTAGGAAGCCCAGATGTCAATCAAAGGGCCAATATGCTCATGGAAAATGAGCGTAGTGACCCTGTTTTTTAGGGTAAGAGTGCTGGTGAAGATTCTTATTCATCCATGTCATGGTTGTCAAGGACGTTTTGCTTTCCATCTCGGAAGCTTTTTCTATTCAAAACATCTGGATTAGCACTGAGTGTGCTACTTTATAGAGTAGCCCAACAAAACAGGGTCGGGTAACCGTGACATTTTTTTTTTTTTTTAAACATAACAGCTAGTTGTCCTGTTGTACCCTGGCAATAACCCTGGTCCACAGGTGCTGCATATTTCAGGCGTCTCCTTGCCGGCACACACAAACCCATACTAAATGAAAGGCTGCAGTAGTTCAGGTTTGTGACTAAAAGGCATGACATGGGGTTTGAATCCAGGTTGTGTCAGGAAAGGCATCTGATGTTAAAACTTTGCTGTCGCTGTGAACAAGTTGTTTTGACTTTCTGTGGCGATCCCTTATTATAGAAGGAACTGAGATGAAACAAACAAACATAACATTTGAAATCACCATGTTTGAATGCAGTCACAATAACGTTTTGTTTGTTAACAAGGTAGGTTAAAACCAGGTAATTACATTGCTTTGGAGTTTATTTAACTTAAAATTTTAAGATACTCTCTAATGAGGATATAGAAGGATCGCTTTGGCATCAAGAACCTGCTAGACAGTTGAAGAAGAAAGAAAACAAACAAGGTGTTTTAATTCAAAGAAGAGTTCCCTTAAAATTGCAAATGTGTGCAAATGGTTTAATCTAAACCCAACAACCCGCTTTAGTTGGATCATCTTAGGGACGATGTTACATAAGACATGTTAATATGAAGTATAAGTAATTAGGAGTGGGGCTAAAAATATGCTGAAAAGTCTCAGGAAGTTAGCTTTGATGTGAAACAAAACCTCACAGAGGTCTAGCACGCTTCAAAACGACCTTTAGAAAAGTAAAATCCATCAATATTTACTCTAAACAATAACAAAAACGTTTAATTTCCACATAAAATCAATATCAGCTTTACTTATAAAAATAATCTGTAGCAAAATAGCGAATACAGGCTATGACCTCCAAAGGGACAGCTGCCACTTAGCTGCTAGCATTTAGCGGTTAGCTCCAACACTTACAAAGGTGCCGATTTTCTCCTTCGCCGGTCTTGTGTACAAATTCGCCGTCTGGGTCACAGTGTGTCCTCGCATGACGGGAGCGACGCGGCTGGCGACGGTTCTCAATAATCCTGGCATTTTTATTTTTTATTTGAGACGATGTCAGATACGTCCGTAGCAGTGAGAAGGTGGCGGCTCAATGGAAAGGAAATGCTCCGGTCTTACCTAAAATATTACAGACAGAACATTACTTATGGCGCCACCTGCTGGCTTGGAAGATGTCCTACATTTTTTTTTATACCAAAACTGAAGTATCAGGGGAACTGCAGCAATCCTTTGGGTTGGTGAGAACAATGTTTTAGCTTTAAAAAAATTACTTAAGTAAATAAAGTGTATAAAAAATATAGATATTTTTCACTTTAATGTATAAAACAGTTTTAAACATTTGCATGTATTCTGATCTGTCCATGCATGGGCCAAGTAGACACCCTGTGAGGTGGAAACAATGAGAATCAATTGTAGGATGTTTTGTTTTTGAGCTCTATAACTCACCACCCAAGGAAGCATGGCTTTCTAAATGTCAGATACAATATGCACGCTCCATCAAAATTATTTTGCTTTTTTCTGTTCCCAATTTTAGCATCTTTTTGAAGGACTTTAAGGCTTACTGTACAACACATATGTTTAGGAAATTAACATTTTTAGATTTTCTTAGCCCTAGATTTTTTACTAAATGAGAGTGCTTCTGCCACATATTTAAAGAAATTAGATTTTTTTATTACTTAGTATTTTAAATGTAAAATACTTAGGCCTGTAAAGACATATGGCTTCAAAAATATTAAGAAATGATTGTTATGTTTTTTTTTTTTTTATGTTACATCGTGATAAAATACATGTATAGGACAGATCCTTTAATCCATCTGACAATGGTCAAATAATTGATGGCATTGCTAAAAGTATTCTCTGTGGCCTCTGTGGACGTTATCTGAATAAAACTTTATATTTTTGTTGAAATGTTAAAGTCAAAACCCAGATTTCAGGCCACATGAGCAGTAATCCTTACTTTTGTACAAACTGCTGGCTGCAGAGAGCTGGAATGTAATAATCCACCGAGTAACAGGCTTTAGTTTCCCAACACCAGCTCTATTGATCATTATTCTTAGTAAACAGGATCTGCTCAGTTTTCATTATTATTCTCTGCAGACAGGTTTATGAGTACTGGGTTTGGATTTCTAAAAAGTCTTTAAAAGATGGATATGCACATGGAGGTAAATGGTTCAGGTGATGTTGAACCATATGGAGGAAAAAGTGCTTTCAGCCAAATGGAGCACAACATCGTGGCTGGATATCTGATAACTGCAGGTAAGAAAGGGAATATTATCTGTAGGGTTTGTATAGCTATAACAGTAGAACTGCACAGTTGACAAAAACACAAAAAAACGTGTTGAATACCCTGTATGTGTTTATATTCAGTTTGATCCTTTTGATTATGCCCACTTAATATTTTATATGTACTCTGTATATTTCCATCTAGACACACTTTGGTACCCCTCATTAAATAAAAGAAAAACTTACAATGGTCAGAAAATAACTTGAATATGTCAAAAGTAATTGGAGATAAAAATTCTACGAAAATGTAAAAAATGAAAGTCAAGACATTGCTTTTCATCCTGCTCCAGCAAAACAATTTTAAAAAGGAAGTCATGAAAAAGGCCAGGACAAAAAATATGGTACACTTTACTTAATATTTTGTTGCACAACCTTGTGAGGAAATCACTTTAACCAAACGATTCCTGTAACTGTGAGTGAGACTTAATTTCCTCTTAGCAGGTAAAAGATGCTGAATAGTATTTAGGTCAGGGCTCATGGGAGGCCACTTCAGAATAGTCCAATGTTTTCCTCTCAGCAATTCTCTGGTGTTTTTAGCTGTTTGTTCTGGGTCATTATCTTGTTTCAAGACCCATGACCTGCGACCTGAGACCACTGGAAAGTGCATTTATTTCTAGAATCCCTTGATAACATTTAGATTTCATTGTACCCTGCAAGGTTTAAGACATCCAGTGTCAGATGAAGCAAATCGGCCCCAGATCATTACAAGGCCTCCTCCGTGTTTGACAGAAGGGACAGTGTTCTTTTCTTGACATGGTTTATTTTTTCGTCTGTTAACATAGAGGGGACGTGTCTCGGTAGAAATCAGGATTTTTGTCACAATTGTCACTAAGACATTCTCCCAGAAACTTTGTGGCTTTTCAGCATGTAGTTTTTTTTTTTTTTTTCAACATTAATGTTCTTCTTGGTCATGTCCTATTAGGTCAATTTTGGCTCTAACAGCAGCAGATCTGACACTGATTTCCATGAACTTTAAGTTGAATCTCAATCTCTTTAAAAGTTTTTCTGGGATCTTTTGTTATCCTTCATATTATCTGTCAGGGATGTTGGCTACTGTCCCATGGATTTGAAGTTTCTGTGCACCCGCAGTCACAGGGAAATCTCGCTGCTTGGAAATGGTCTTATAGCCTTTATCTTTAACATGCTTTTCTATAATTTCTTTTTTTATGATCACAACTCTACCCTTTGCTTCTTCTGGTCCATGTTGACTGTGGTACACACCATGTCACCAAATATCACAGTGACTGCATGTGGCCCTATATAGAGGCCCACTGACTGATTAGAATACTGCAGACACCTGTGTTGCTAATAAGTGGAGATGCCTTGATTAAACATTTCCCTTTGGAAGCATTATTTTCAGTCTTTTCTAGGCTCATAATTTTTGCCCAGGCATTATTTTTGCCTGTGTCATTATTGAAACAGGCCTGTTTCAATTATCTATTTTTTAAAATCATTCTGTTGAAGCATGGTTGAAAAACAATGTCTTACTTTATTTGTTGAATTTCATACAATGGTAATTTTTTATTACTTTTTTTCAGATTCAATATCTGAGACCTCTGTACTTTTTTCTTTCATTATGATAGCTTTACCAATGTTTTTTATCCACATGTGTAAAAGCTTGGAGAAGCTTTATGACTTGTTTAACAAGGTTTTCAAGCTACTTTGAACCATGCTTGATTGTGTTTACAGCAGAGAATTGAAAAAATAAACAACCTTTAGTACTACAAACAAAGATTCAGCATCAGAGAAAAAAAAAAGCGAAGTGATTTTCAACATGATTTCACACCATATAAAGCCTATGTGAGATTTATTTTTACAGAATTAAAAGCTTAATATCCTGAAATGTCCAAAAGTATATATATGCAAGCAGGAGGATTCAGAACAAATGCACATATTTCATTAAATTATTAGATTAATGCAGAGGAGTTTTAGGAGTATAGCTAGAAAGCCATTATCTCTAATCTTTCATGATTACCTAATTAGATTTGAAAACTCTTAAGAGTACAGAAATGGCTTTTATGAAGTCTGGATTACAAAAAAAATAGATATCAACCTGTAAGTATGTTTAAATTCTTATGTGAAAAATTATAACTTTAAACCTGATCTAAACAAAAAAAAGGGTTCCAAAATATTTTTTTTGTACATCTAACTCTTTTCTTGAATGCAACCACGTATTTATCATAACCAAACTATAGGTTTTACATGCTGTTGGATAAAAACACAAGGACTCCACGGGGGGATTTCACATATCCACAGAGGATGGGGGGAAGATTGATATATAAAAAAATTGACTTAATACTTTAAAGTTCTTCAGGAAAGTACTAACCACATGGCATTACAGAGCTAACACTGTTCTGATAGCATTACAATAGAATAGAACAGAACCGAATAAAATAGAAAAGAATAGAATAAAATAGAATAGAAATGAATTGAATTGAATAGATTAGACTACAATACAAAAATTCCTTTTATTGTCACATAATGGGGAAATGCTGGTGTTTATAGCAGCAAAAACATGATAGAAAATTTATATAGATTCATATAAATTTGTATTTATATATACATTTATATAAATCTTTTTTCTTATATAAATGTTTCTAAATTATATTTACATAATTTATAAAGATAATGTAACTTATCCAGAACCTACCGGCTAGCATATTTCAGTGGTATCTTATAAGGGCAAGCATATAAATCATCTGATGTTCTAATTTTACTACTGATGATGGATTTCTGTCTTCCTTACCAAATATAATTTATAATAATTTAATTAAATTTTGTTAAATCTTTGGTTCTTCATTTGCTCTCAGGTGTCATCAGTTTGGCCAGTAACATCGTAGTTCTGCTGATGTTCATGAAGTTCAGGGAGCTTCGCACTGCCACTAATTTCATCATCATCAACCTGGCCTTCACTGATATTGGAGTGGCTGGTATCGGTTATCCCATGTCTGCCGCCTCAGACATCCATGGGAGCTGGAAGTTTGGTTACACTGGCTGCCAGGTGAGAAAAGAAATCAAACTTTCACCAAACTCTGATAATCTTTATGAGTATGTTTTTGTTCATTTTTATTTTGTGTGTCTGTTTTATGTTGATGCTTATGGATAAGAATGTTAGGTTAGACTTTAACCTCAGGTTACATGTCTGCCTTTTTTCTACAAATCATTACATATTATATCAAACCTATTATCTCTGCCTGCAAACATGTTTTTCTGAAAGTAAAAGTGTCAAACAATTATTAAACATGTTTACGTATTGTGTAGTGATTTACACTCAATATGTTAAAATACTGATGAAGGGTTAGAAAGTTCAAATTTAACATTCAGCCTTGTAACCAACTTTTTTGATTTGTTTAAAGTATTTTCCTTTTTTTTTTGCTTCTGTCTTTAGATTTATGCGGCCCTCAACATCTTTTTCGGCATGGCCAGCATAGGCCTGCTGACTGTGGTGGCTATCGATCGCTACCTCACCATCTGCAGACCAGACATCGGTAAGAGTTCGCTCTTTAAGTTTTATATGAACTTTCTTTCACTTAAGTCATATGGATGGAAGAAATCACAGTTTTCGGTCTCCAAACCAAAAAAAGGAAGATAATGAATTTCATAATTTCAAGGGAAAGTTTTCAAATGTAACTAAATTTTCATTCAGTTGAGATAAAGTACCATACCATTCCAAATTTTATCCAAGGCCAGTTTATAGGTGTGTATCACTTTACATTTAGGAGCAGTGTGATATCTACTACAACAAATAATGTTCTAATTGCTTTTGAGTTAGGATGCAGCCAGAAAACACTGTTAGTGATGCCAGGGGAAACTGCAAGTGATGCTTCAATGCAGCCATTCTGAAAAAACTAGATCTATGTAGAGATTGACATGCAGAGCGATTCAGAAGTATTCATGAGAATTAGATATTTTCTAATTTTGTCACCTATAGCATAATTACAATAGATATCAGTTATACTTATAGGGTCAGGTTTAGTTTATTCTTTTTAGAATACATTTCTGAAAAGTTTGGTAAGAAGTGACATTTAGTCTGGGTAAATAACCTACAACCACTTTTTTTATGCACTCGAAGTATGTCACTATCAACTTTGTACAGATGGAGAACTTTGGAGTATTTTATTTCATCCAGTTATGTTAGTTTTAAGAAAGAAACATCCAAATTTTGAAATCTTCTCACACTTCTTAATTAAATCAAGGTTGACTAAGAAATAATATTAAAAAAATAAATAAACATAAGTTTATCTTTACCCTTCTGTTTGTGTTCCTAAATCTTCATGAGGCCCCGGATAAGCAGAAAAAAATGGATGGATGTGTGTAACATGACAAAAATGTTCAAAATTTAGGGTATAAAAAATATATAGCCTCTTCCTCACAGCTGTGATACAACCGTTCTCCATCCATAGTCCAACACTCACACATCCACCCCCGGCAGAACTCTCACATAGGCCCCTTTTACAACGAAAGACTCAGGATTTGTTTCACCTGGATAAAAGAAATCACAGGGATTCTCCCTGCAGCTTAACTCTAAAAAGACACCAAGACATCAGCCTGAGAAAAGCTGCACTAAACCTTTATTCCAGCAGATGGCATTAAAACAAATTTCCTTTACTTCCAGTTCTATTTAGATTATTATAACACTTGTTTACAGCCTTTAAAATACTCCATTAACTATATTTGTTGTTGTTCCATCCTGTGATACCCTGACTGTAATCCCAATCTATTACTAACTATTATTAGCCTACTTTAAAAGGTCAACTTCAAAACAAATCTAGCTTTGAACTAGCTTTTAGTCATTTGGATTGATTTACATTTACTGAGATCAAAACCAACTAAAGTCAACTCTGTTCATGTTTGCAGAGAGGAAGTTAACAAGGTAAAAAAAAATATGCAGATATTTCTTTAGGATATTCCTAAATGTTTTAATGAAGCAGGGACTGTTATGACTACATTATTTATTGTTTTACCCATTTTTAGCTGTGTGTGATCATTTTCTCACATCTAAACATGCTAAACCTGAAGTTTTCTGAAGGATTAAATAGTATAATGAATACTATCAAAAATTATTTATTTAAACAAAAATCCCTGTTGTTTCAAAATAGGAAGCGACACTGAAAATCAGTCAGAAAACCATCATGATGAAATATTTTTCACCCTCGTTGTTTAAATGGGCTTTATTTCTGTCTCTAAAGGTCAGAAAATGACAGTTAGATCTTACAACATCCTCATTCTGGCTGCCTGGCTGAACGCTGTGTTCTGGTCCTCCATGCCCATAGTAGGCTGGGCAGGATATGCCCCCGACCCCACTGGAGCAACTTGCACCATCAACTGGAGAAAGAACGATGCGTGAGTTTCTATTTAGCTGTGGACATTTTTTTATTTGTTATGGTTTGACTGTACCTCTCTCGTTAAACATCCTTTAATATCAAAGCAGCATCTTCGCTTCTCCTTTGCAGATCCTTCATCTCCTACACAATGGCGGTGATTGCAGTGAACTTTGTTGTTCCTCTGTCAGTCATGTTTTACTGCTATTACAATGTCTCTGTAACTGTGAGGCGATACAAAGCCAGCAACTGCTTGGACAGCATCAACGTCGACTGGTCTGACCAGATGGACGTTACCAAGGTAACACACATAGTGGACACTTAGGTTTAGAGGTTTTTGTTCTTTTAATCTTAAAAAAAAAAAATAGGCATTGCTCACTTATTTTTAGACTGCTGTTTAAGTGTGCAGAAATTGTGATTGTATTTTTCTCTGAGAGAATGATTGCGCTTCATAGTTCTAGTCTTTTCAACTTCAGTTAACAGTTTCACAGATCATCCATTTTTGGTTGATAAAACCATAGTTAACGATCAAGAAAATGTCAAATCTTCACGTCGGTTAGTGTCTGTCTGTCTCATATGGTGGAAAAGATTAATCTTGCTTTTTTTTCCCTCCCCAATTTTTTAATGGGAAGCTGTAGCAACAGGTGAATGGTTATTGCATATCAAGCAAAAGTCAAAAAAGAACTGAAATATCTCACAGCTGAGGTGGTTTGAAAATCTGATCAGGATTTTTAAAGCAGGGATGCTGCTGGAAGGAGGGATGTCTGCTGTTTTTTTTTTTTTTTTTTTTTTTTTTTTTTTTTGTTTCTTAGAAAACCTCCTGAAATAGCAGACTTTTGATGAGTAAATGGATGCAGAACACAAACAGACAGTTATATCATTTGGCATCTGTCATAAACTTGGAAAGTAAAAACTTTTTTTTTTTTGTATCAGTGTTGAAGCTAGTTTCTATTTTTGAGGGTTTAAGTTGAACATCCCTATCCTAACTTGGTGAATCCAGCCAACAAAAAAAAAAAAAAAACCTAGATCAGTGCATTTTTTCTTCATACAAATTGATTCTTACATTTCCTGTTTGCTCTTTTTTAAGGGGAGTTATTGTGAAGTGTGAACATTAAAATCAGTAAATTATTTCTAGATGTCTATCATTATGATCATCATGTTTCTGGTTGCCTGGTCTCCTTACTCCATGGTGTGTCTCTGGGCATCGTTTGGTGATCCAAAGACCATTCCTGCCCCAATGGCCATTATTGCTCCCCTCTTTGCAAAGTCCTCGACATTCTACAACCCCTGTATCTATGTCATTGCCAACAAAAAGTGAGTATTTTACTGACTTAAATATCTCCTGTATAAGAAGTTATTTGACAGTATGTTACAGGGTTGTAAAAGTTGCTTTCTTGCAGGTTCAGGAGAGCCATTATCGGGATGATCCGATGCCAAACAAGGCAGCAAATCACAATCAATACCCAGGTTCCAATGACGATCTCCCAGCAGCCTCTAACCCAGTGATTAAAGGTCTCCTTAATCACTGCATAAATATTTAACTATTTACGTTATTCTCTTGTTTGAGTTTATCTATTAGCTGTTTTTTTTTTTAGATTAATGGGCAGTGCTACAAAATGTGTAAAGAAAATAAAACTTTTAGAATGTTTTTCTTATTTTTTTTGCTGATCAATTATCATTATGTCTGCTTAGCATGAGACCTTAACTAGCATGTTTTTATTTTTAACTATATCTCAAATGTAGCAAACTTTACATAAAACTGCTGATGATAAGTACAGAAGAAAAGGAATATGTGTGTAGTGGGAGGACTGGATTTAATGTCTGTCGGTTCCATAGGTTAGACACTGGCACATGTATTAATGCTCCATGTTTCGTTTTGAGGACCTTTAAATTATAGTCAGACACAAGTATATTACTGCAAAAGGGAAAATTATATTTCAGTCAAAGTGGGATAGTCCTTTCTTAAATGCTTAGAAAGAGGAAGAGCCTAAAAGTTCCGTTTTAAATCCCAATATTACTTTATGTTAAAATTATATTCTATTACAAGTTATAGTTTATAATATTGTTTAAAAACACATTTTGCAATAATTAAGAAAAAGAAACTACATTGATTTCATTTCTTGCTGCTTTTTTTTTCCTAATTTCTCCCAATTGTTTGAGGCTCACTTTAAAAACTTCACCGCTATTTACTATGAAAATCCCATTTGCTTTGACTGGTAGTTGTTGTTTTGGCCCAACTAAAGCACTTCTTAAACATCTATGAAAATAGTCTTGTGTATAGACTATGTCATCCAGCAGGTAGGGAAATAAATACAGCAGCCATGCCTAAAATCCAACAAAATTGAATAAGGACTGTGCTGGACTATTTGACAAGCTAACAATGCATATCTTTGGAATCTTTGGATGAATTGCAGGGAATTTCAAATACAATAAAATATAAATTGTCTTTATAACCCATTTTTATTACATTTTTGCTCTCTGTAATATCAAGAGATTTTTGACAAAAAAATAACTCAGAAAGTGGCAAGTTGTTAAATGCAACATTAATTTGTTCTTACGACATTCAAGAGTCATAAAAATGTCACATAACATCAAACTACGTTATCTATGTAATTACCATATCATCATAGCTGTTTAGCAGCAAGACTGCCCTCCTCTCACATCTGTAGTTCACCATCTTTTATAAAGACACCAGAACCCAAGCCTGTTAATTTATGGTTTAACTTACTCTAGTTCTGACTTACCTACTTTAATAAAACAAGACAAATTTTATTCAAGTATTATTTAATGATGGTTTTGGATCAAAACATGGAACATGCAATAAAAAAAAAAAACACATTAGGAGAGGAGACATGGAAGAGGAACTACCAGAACAGTAGGACAATAGGAACTGTTATGCCAAAGTAATAGATTTATTACTTGTTATGGGAAAATAATAGATTTAAAGAATCTGAAAAGGAGTTAAACAAAAAAACAAAACAAAAACAAACCTGATATATCAAAAAACTGCTGGGAGGATAACAGTGGAAATTATGAGCAGGTGAGTCTAAATTACAGAAGGGATGGCAGCTGTGAAGGGACATTTATTGAGGGGCTGAGGAAACCTAGCTTATTCCAAAAAAAGTTAATAAAAAAACCCACTGGACTTTGTTTTCCAAGTTTAAAGATGCTTTGCTTCCCATCCAGGAAGATTTTTTAAATCAAAATGTCTGAAAATACATTACAGACTTGTTGACAGCAAATCAACCACCCGGACCTTTCACATCTTCTGGCACAATTCTGCCCAGAATCAGAACTAAACATGGAGCAACAGCTTTCAGTTCTTATACTCCACTAGTTTAGAATCAAACACCCCAAACACTGTAAAAGCGCTGAAACCCTAAGTTCCTTTGACTGTGCTAAACACTATTTGAAGTTTGAAGTCCAACTTTTGACAATTTTATCAACCATTCTATTTTTCTTAAACTATCTTTCAATGCACTTTTCCTTGTGTGTTCCTACTTCCTACAGCTCTTTGAATTATCTTGCTCCTGAAATGTTCAATAAAAATACATTTGCATCACCTTGATTATTAAATTAACCTAATCATCTGCTTCTATTCCCAACAGCAATGTTGTATAATGTTTTTTCTCAATTATTAGCCATAGTTCTATTCCCAGTCTTTAGTTTCACATGTATTATTAACTTTCTATTTGCTGAATAAATTTGGACTATCACAAACCTCCTCTCTCTGTTGCTCCTTACAATTTTAACTGATAAAAGAAAAAATGAATAAGGACTCAGTGAATTCATGTCCATTAGAACTTTTAGTCTAATTCCATAGGTGTTGCAAGGCCTTGAAAGGTGAAAGATGGATTACTGGAAACGCCACATTCAGTTTTGCATGACCCAAGTTGTGCGTTTAAAGTTGCTCTTCAAAGCTCATATGAGGCCCCTGATAAGTTTTCTCTGGAACAAATCTTTTATACATCTGAATCCCCACTCATTACTAAACATTGGTTTACCTGAAAGTATAGAAACTTTTAGACATTTTACAGATTTACTATTTCACCTCAACACTGCAGTCAGAGAAAGAATAAATTCAATATTAACTTGAACTTTTGGCAAGGCCACTCTCATTGACAATTATCAAATTCAATCAAGTTATTCTGTTAAGTTGACATGGTTATAGTCTTTGGTTGTGTCCAACCCTTGCCACCAAAATAATGCAATATGGCAACAAAGAAGCAAGTCCTTCAAAATGTGTTTATAATATTTAACACATTGTATATTAAATCAATATTTTATAATAATAAAAGAATGAATAGATTACCGTTGTTTTCTTTAGCTTCTTCCTAAGGTCAATAACCTCAATATAAAAAAACAAAAGAAAAGAAAACAAGGTAAGGTCTAACAACTCTTTTCCATGGCTACAGTATATATATATATATATATATATATATATATATATATATATATATATATATATATATATATATATATATATATATATATATATATATATATATATATATATATATATATATATATATATATATATATATATATATATATATATATGGTTTATTATCTTAATACCTCTGATAAGTTGTACAAAAACATCTTAGAATTTTGGAGATAAGGTATTTTAGGCTGGAGAAGTATGTTTAACCTGCTCCCATCTTCTGCGTGGTTGAAACATTTTCTGACCCATAATGTTTTGCAGAGGTTGATGGGACATCAATGTTGGGGTCTCCATTTTCAGCTGAGTTAATTTGGTTGTTCTTGCCGAGGCTCTTTATGATGTTGAGGTTGGTACGGGCCGTTTCCATTAGGCTGTTTTCCAGCAGCCAGCCGTCAGATTCCGAGTTAGGGTCCCCCTGCCTTAGCATGTTTTCCAAGGAGGTCTGAAGGTAACGGACGCCTGTCAGGACTGACAGCTGAAACAAGGCAGAGATGTGCATTAGTGCATTTAAAGCAACACATTAAATCATAATCAAAGGGATTGGATTGGTTATTCTGTGAGTAATTATTAGTCAAAGATAAAAAATATTATATGTTCCAAACTTAAAGATATTACTAGAACACCTGCAGATAACTTAATATCACAATTGCTTTACCAAACACCTGTTATGTTATTAGTTGTTGGGGTTATTTTTTTATTGTATATGATGATGAAAAAAGAAATCAATGGTTTTGGAGGGGGGAGAAAATAATATAAAGGCATCAAAGTGTTTCACAGACAATATCTACAAAAAAAGTGATGAATTTGTTTTCAGTTTCCTTTACTCCATTTTCCCAAATTAAAACTCTGTGGAACCACATGAAGCAGTTTCCCAATGTCCATTTCAAATTTAATGAGAATAAAACCAGCTTTTCCTTGGAGCCTCAAAGCTTGGAGAAAAGTTTAGTACAACAGCCCCTTAAGGAAAGCATCAACACCGTGTTGAAAGCCTAATATCATAAAGCAAAGTTCAATCTATCCTGCAAAAAGGAAAAGGGAATAACCTAAATGCAAACAAACCATCAGATGGATTTCGACCTCAAGTGGCAGACTAAATAAGAAAATCATTGATCACAAAGAGGCCCAGTGGAACGTTTGAGCAGCTGCATGCACTCACAAGTCAAGTGAAATAATCTGTTAACAGGAAGCTGTCCGTTCCACAAATCTAAAAATTCCTTTAGAAAAAACATTGATGACAACAAAATACATACATGTGTTTGGTGACCTAGCCAATATTTGGACTCAAATCATATTTGAGTATTAGTGGCAAATCACAGAAAATGTATCTTCACCCATACCCATTATGCAGGGTGACTGATCTTCAGCTTTGGCAAAGAAGAAAGGGCAACAATTTTAGGATCTAGATAGGCAAATCTGGTAGATGTATCACCAAAACTACAATAATATATCAGTAATTGCAGAGCTTCCTTGCCTCAAAGAGCCATGTGATGAGGACTGTAAGGCCAATGGACTGCAGGATGTGAGTATAGTACTCCAGCAGTGCCTGTCGGCAGCCTCTCATCCACAGGTTCTGGTCCTCGGTCTGATGCTCATAGTTGAAGTGGGCCGAGTTGTTGGTAATTTGATGCTGGATGCAGGGCCGAGGGGAGTCGATGTTGCAGCAGCTGAACGGGACTCCATCCATCAGGTATTTCCCCTCTACATTACTCCTCAGTCGACTTGAAAACAGAAATAAGATGCGTTACAGTCTTTCAACTCTAAAAAGACTTTTAATTAATTAATCTGGGATTAATGCTGACAGTTTTGTATTTATGTACTTTTAAAATGTTTGAACAATATGCTTACTTACTCTACCACCTCCTTTTTGGACATGTCCAAGTAACGGTTGCTTATCCACTGGATTTGAAACCAGTCTTTGTAGCCGCTGTTCCCACAGCACTGGAACTGTATCTGCAGCATGTCCACAGTGTGTTTCAGGAAGCAGCGTCCTGGCATGTCTGTGTCTTTATAGAACCTCATGGCTTGCATCAAACCTAGGTTTAGAGCCTCCTCCAGCTCCCAGTGCATGCTGTAACACATCAGCGCTCCCACAAGGACGCAGAGAGTGAAAAAGAATGTGCACACAATGTAGGGTAGCAGTATCAGCTTCCAGCGTAAGAACTTTGTGGTGTCCACACAATCATAGCAGATCTTCCCACCCAGGAAGTTAATGACACAAGCTATGAGACCCACAGCGATCAGCATGTTGGGAACATAATGGATATCTTTCTCTGCCATCAGCTCCTCTCGCTTTTTGAGCTCCACTTTGAGGAAGAGCCCAAGGCTGAACAGGATGACACCAGTAACCACTGAAATCCAGTTGAGGATCCATAGGATCTGGGCCAGCTTGTCCCTCCTAGTCTTAGTGAACTTTACCTTTAAAACTGCCATAGTCAGTGTCTTTCTTTTAGTTTTCCTTTAAGGTGAGGATACGATAGAAGATGGGATGTAAGTAGATCCTGGAAAAGGAACAGTTTATCCTCCAAAGGGGGCAGGGAACCAAGCAGAGGGGGTTTGATTGTAAGTTCTCTGCAGGTCCTTTCATAAGCAGCTTACTCTGGTACTCGTAATTGATATAGTGTAGACGCAGCATAATGGTCATACTGAAGAAGGCTGTATACAAAAAAAAAAAACAGTTACCACATAAATATAGCATCTCAAAATGGAAAATAATGCTAGATAAAGAGTTTCTAAATTATTTTAAAGCATAAATTAGCAGCTCTACATCCATAACCATGAAACAAACAACATCTAAGTATCTCTTACTTCCATCATATGTATAACAAATCATTTATATTCTGTTTATTTAAGTAGAGTTCAACAGCTCTGATTTATATAAAGGATCTACTATTAAAAGTACAAATTAATAAATTTACATTTACCTCCTGGTTTGATGTTTTCACCTATAAGACCCAACATCATCCTCACGTTTGCCTATTTTCTTCATGAGGTCCTCATACTTCATTTTTGACAGAGCTAAGTTGTTGTAGTGACACAGATATCACAAAGGCAGCGACAGAAGCATCTGAATGAGACCAGTAGCCAACACCTGACCCTCCACATAATCTCCTTTTAATCATTAATCAGCCCTCGGCCCAACAGAGGATTTGGACCCACCTTCTGCCACCTATGCAAATCTGACTGTCTCACTTCTGGGAAAGTAATGACAAGTAGCTGTTATGTAAGTGTGTCTTTTAAGTTTATTCATGCATAAATTCAAATGCTGTAATTTTCAAAAAAGATGTGATTTAGAATTTGAGTTACAACAGAGTACATAATAATATAAAAAAGTCAGAGGTATAAAAAACCTTTCTGTAAATCTATGCAATGTATTGTTTATTATGCAAAACGATACTTCATCCATATTTTCTCAGTGGTGCCTATTCCTTCAATTGGGTAATAGGTGGGGTATACCCTGGACATGCAAAACTAAAATTTCATTTCAAAATAGCTACATAATAACCTTGAGTGCACTTGCTATAGAATTCTTCATGCACTTAAAATATATAATCAAACACTTTAAAAGTACTTTCAATGTTGTAATGGACCATATATCTCATATAACGAAGCAGTGACACATTCTGAGTCACCAATGAAATCTGAGACAATTTCTGAATTCTTTTTTTTTCTGTAATACTCACAAACGAACATTGGAATTTAAAATCTGAAATGATCTGTTCTACTGAATGGTAATTTTTGGTAATCCAGAGTCTTGCAACAGAATCTTAAAAAGAAGAAGAAATATCCATCCATTATCTTACACGCTTGTCCCAATTGGGGTCGCGAGGGGTGCTGGTGCCTATCTCCAGCAGTCAATGGGCGAGAGGCGGGGTACACCCTGGACAGGTTGCCAGTCCATCACAGGGCAACACAGAGACACACAGGACAAGAAGAAATATCAACACAGATATAAAACTTAAGACCTAAAAAGTGTGGATTGCATTTCTGTTCACCTCCCTCTTACTCTAGTAAATAAAACAACTGATCACCTTTAGATGTCTCCTCAAAACAATAAATCACAGTCACTTGTCTCTAATTTAGAGATTAACTTTTTTGTTCTATAAAGACCATCAAATGTTTATTAAAGAACAATAGTAAATAAACACTAAGGAAAACAGCGAGGAGGTGCGGTGTAGAAAAGAATAAAGCGTGGGTACGTTAAAAGGAATTTTAAGCTTATAAGAGAAAGAAAACAGAATAAAATGTCTTTCCACCAATGAAAATGACAGAATTAATAAGGTAAGCAGCAAAAAGAGCATTGTTTGCCTGGTGAAGACTCACAGATTCATGTTGGGAAAATTTGCTTGCCAGAGGGCAAAGTCATGCACAAATCTGACTTTTATGGCAGGATGATAAAAGACAGCCATTACAGAGCCCATTTACAATCTGTCACAAAACACATCTTAATTATATGGAAAGTGCTCTGGGCATATTAGACCAAAACTTAAGCTTTTGGCCAACATGAAAACCCATCCAAGTGGAGAAAACATACTGTATAACATCATCATGTACACAACCCTATACTGACACATGGTAGTAGCAGCATTATACTGTGGGGATGCAGTTACATGGAAGCTGAGCAGGGTTGAAAGAAAAATGGAAGTAAGACGGAGCTTCACCTTCTACCTGGACAACAACCCCAAACATACAATCTGAACTAGAATGGGATGGTTTAGACACAGAACTAAATACAAATACTAAATGTGCCAGTAATCACTTTCCATATGCCTTATAGTCATGCAACATTGGTTTATCAAATTGTAGGGGTGACAAAATATGGGGGGGGGGGGGGGGGGGTCTTTTGGAATTCTGCTTGTTAATAAATGACACAATCAAGGTGGAGGCTAACAGAGAGCTTTGGGTGGTGTGGAGAAATTAATTCTGTGAAATTTTGAGAAACTGCATATAGAAACAAACACAGGGTCAAAATTATATGATTATTCTGTATAAATAGAATTATTGCTGTCCCTCTATGTTAACTCTATTCTCATTCTGCAAAGGGCCGCCCTGCTATACCAGAGATGGTGCGTCTCAGCCAATAAAATGTAAACAGGGAGAGATTAGTGGATTAACATCTAGGACAGTAGCTTGGGTGAAGGGAAAAGTGCTGCAGCCACTTAGGGTTGACAGAAAATCTCCATGAAAGACAGAAGCAGTAGCAATTACAGCTCTGCATGGACGGAGGAAGTTCCATCAACAAACTGTTGGCAAATAACCTCCCCTATGCTGAGTAAGTATTGAAAATACAACATCTATAAATGTGTCAGAATTATTCCCCCTACCTCCATGTTTTAATCTGGTCTTGCTCAATCCATTGATCTAATTATGTCTAAAATATCCTAAGGTTAAATAATGTTATGGGTTGGAACACCCATATGGAGAACATATATATGTGATGCATATTACAACTCATCTTTTGCTTTTTCTACATAAGAGCAATATATTTGAACTTTTTTTTACAGTGGATCCTCAACATGCCATAAAACCTGATACCTGATTTTTGAGATCCAGACAACATGTTGGAGGATCAATGGTCTGAGGCTTTGGCTGCTAACAACATTAGAACCATTGTTTACTGGCTGAAGAAGCTGACCAATAAAGGTAAAGAGTAAGAGACACCTCTGATTTATACATACCTGCAAAGATATCTCCAAATAAAATGTTGTTGCATTGAACCTTAATAAGGTGATGTTGGTTTGGAGGAACATCTACAAACCTTTGGCTACTGGTTACAAAGGACATCAGAAATCACTAAAAAGGAGCTGGTAACACTGTGTAAGTATTTATGTTTGACATGTATTTGAGTAGCTTGGAATGGTAGAATAATTAGGAAAAAACATGTAGTTGGTCATTGGAAAGATGAAAAAATGACAATCAGTTATTACCTAAAATTAAAAATGTTTTATTTTAAAAAATTACCTTATTTGCTTCTTTATTAAAAGTCTGATTTGGAGGTAACAAACCAGAGTGTACTTTAACAATAAGTTGGACTGGACTAGAAACACCGAGGTGGTCTACAAAAAGGGCCAAAGCCGACTATTTTTCCTGAGGAGGTTGAAGTCCTTTAACATCTTTGGGGAGACGCTGAGGATGTTTTATGAGTCTGTTGTTGCTAGCATGCTCTTCTTTGCTGTCACATGCTGGGGCAGTGGGTTGAAGGTCGCTGAAAACAACAGACTGAACAAACTGATCAAGAGGGCCGGTGATGTTGTGGGGGAGCAGCTGGACACCCTGACCACCGTGGCAGAGAGGAGGATGCTGTCCAGGTTTCAGTCCATATTAGACAATGACTCACATCCTCTCCCTGACACACTGGTCCAGCAGAGGAGCTCCTTCAGCAGAAGACTCCTCCTACCCAGATGCACCACAGAGAGCCACAGGAAGTCATTCCTACCTGTGGTCATCAATCTCTATAACGCCTCCCTCAAGTGATTCAGACTAGAGACTGACACGGGAGTGGATTTTCACTCCTGTCCCGTCCCACTCCCACAGAAAAAAATTGTGTCCCGTCCCGATCCCGGGCCAGAGTAGAAATCTGAATCCTGTCCCGTCCCACTCCTGGTGAAATTACTCCCACTCCCATCCCGCTCCCATTCAGAAAGACTCCCGCTCCTGCACCACTCCCCTTCTTGTTGTTTTTGTGCGCAGGTGAAAAACTCAGAGCGGAAGCGCTGTTGGTTTTTGTGTCGTGTAGTTTATTTGACTCGCACTATAGTATAGGCTTCAAGGAAAAAAACTACAAAATGTGGCAGCGCTTTACGTGTTGTTCAGTGTTTTCTGGTTTGTTTGTTTTTTTTACCTCCTGGATCAGATTATGGCTGTAGTTGGCCAACCACGTCTTGGGGAGTCACAAGGTCTATCAATATAGTAGACTGAATTCCAAAAGGTTTTCTAGCTATCTCTAGATTTGCCTCTGACTAGGATCACAGTCACATAAGATGCAGAAGTTTTTGTGGCAACTGTAGGGTTCCCAGTTTCACCCCAGCATGGTTTTGGTTTTTAGTAGTTCTTTGGCAAGACACTTCCACTGCAGTGTCTGCTTACAACATTCAGTGCCTGTGTTTGGCAGCCATGCTTCTGTCAGTGCATCCACCTGTGGCTAAAAGGCAGTTTGCCACCATAAGTGTGTGAATAATTAAATGTAGTGTAATAACCTTTGAGGTCCCCTGACTTAAAAAAGCGCCATATAGGTACAGGCCATAGATGTTGATTATTTAATGTCTTTCATTTGGGGGCTATGTAGTGCTTTTTGTGGTGTTGAATGGTTATGGTATTATTTAGAGCAACCACTGAACATGACTGATGAACAGTATAAGCAGACAACATTTAGTCAACATTACTGTTAACATCAGCTTTAATGGAATTTTTAGCAGGCTGTTGATCATATGTTTAAGACTGTTATTTCTCAATGCACAACATCAAATGCAATGTTTCTTACCTGCTAAATACGTGTTTTTGTCCACCAGTGTCTTTATCTCCAAATATATTAATATCTCTGCACAGTATGAAACCTACTGAGAAAGTTTTTTTTCCTAAGATCATGTTAAATTCATTGTTTTTCCATCCTTCTGTAAACCGGCTGCTACTTTTCTATTCCTTTTTGATGTGAATATTATTTCTAATTTTTAACTTTTTTTTTTTTACTAATAACCACATACTGTAGCATTATTCTTTTCTGAGATGGGTTTTGTACTACCGCTGTAAAGTTTAGCTTTAAAAATGTTGCTTTTCACATTATATGTTCCTTGTGTTTCTGTTAACTTCTACTTTGTATTGCCATATCTATTTCAGCCATATTTTGGAGTTTTGTATTTATTTTCCTATTTGCTGTAATACCTAAAATAATTAAAAAACAGTGGGTGGCTTCATCTGTTTTAAATGTTTAAATGGAGTCACAGGTAGTCGGACAGCAGGTGTGCGGATTGTGACGGAAACAACGTTTTTTGACCGTTGTCGTCTTTGCCGGTGTTTTTGTTATTGATCACGGTAAATGTAAGATCCTTTGGATGTAAGCCAATTGACAAAGTAAAAATTTGCTTTTGTGAGAGCGTTGGATCAATAAATGCTCTGCAAACCAAGAACCTAAAGGTTTATTTATTTATTGCAAGAGGACGAGGCGTCAACTCAGTGCCAGTCAGCAGCCTCACCCTGGCTTAGGATTGTTCCTTTTTTTTTTTTTATTTAAGAACAAGTCACTACAATATCAAAAAAATGTAGTATTATGGTACATTAAAAGGGATCTCTCTTTCGTCAAATTAGTAAACTTATTCTGTATGTTTATATTGTTCGTTTTTTATTTATTTTCATTTAGTTTTTTAAAGTAGTTTTGATGGTGAACACAATGTTGAAAAAACTTAGCTTTGAAACTTAACCTGTTTCTTTTGTTTATTGTATTTTTTTTTTTTTAATTAAGTTTATCCCATTAGCTAAAATTAGGGCATTTGAAGAGTCTAACAATGTTATTACTTTGCACTGGCTCCAACAAGAAAAAAAGTTGATTTATGAAAATATATTGGCTGGAAAGATTCAGTTTATTTTGTTCTACATCAATATAAAAAACACTTTAGATAGAATAATATGTGCTATAATATTTGAATTTAATATATTAAATTTGGGAGCATCACTTTAAATGACCAAATATCAATGATGCAATATCCTATAAGTCAAAATTATTATTATTATAATTTTTTTTTTCCTTACAGGCTTCAGCCGCTGTCAGGGTTTGTGGATGTTTCTGGATCGGACCTCCTTCATTAAAGTACACATATTGCTCCAAAGGTTACAGAACCTGCTGATCTTGGTGCAGTGGTCAAGAAAGCATCTAGGTCAATAAATAGAAAAGCTAGATCAGCTCACCATATCATAACCATATCTACACCCCTACCTATCCTTGATATGTTCTTTGTCTAATTTTTAATAGGTGTAAAGGTTCCGTGTCTGATCTGTAGAGACCAGCAGCACTCAACTGATGGCTGTTGCAACCAAGAGCACTGGACTCTGAAGCAGCACATCTGGCTGGGTCGGCTGGTTCAGTGGTGGGGCATCATGGGGCTCCTGCCCAGGTTACCTGGTACTGATATATCTGTACTGTAAATACATAAAGTTACATGATGAAAATGAATCTCACCTTTAAAGAGTTTTGTGTTGTCTGTTGTTGCTGTCAGAAGCCCAAGAATTGAGGCGTATTTCTCAGATGTGGAAGGAAATGGAGCTCAGCCATCGGGAAATGTGTCTTAAAACAACTGGGTAAAACCTGTGATGTATTTCTGTAAAGATTACACATATCTATATACTAACCCTCTCTCTTCTTATATCATTTTTGCTTTCTTTTGTTTGCTTTTTGATTATAGGTGGAACAATTGTGAAATGGAAAGATGTGGCTTTTTGATAGAGGGTATTGTGATGCAGTTGTACAAACGACACGGCTGTATATGGACTTCTGAAGATTGCACAGACCAGTGCTACCCTCCACCTACTCTACTGGCGCTTCTGATGCTTGTAATGATTCCTGGCATTGACAACATGTCAGTCCAGGGTATTGTATCCAGCCAACGTTTTCCAGATTGATTAATAATCAGATGAATCTGGTGTAATATATATAAAAAAAGGAAAATAAGCAGGTTCAATGAGAAGAAACTGGTTTAGAGCACATTTAGTTTAAACCATGCTTTTCACTTTTTCAGTAAGCCCTGGCTAAGATATAATGTTTACAGTTTTACCAGAGTTAATTCTCTGATGCAAAAAAAAAAAAAAAGCTTTGTATCTGCAGGTTTTCTGCTGTGCAGGATTCTTTCCAATTTCAGTGGATAGATTGAACTGTCCTCTGAAACATTAGTAAAATGTTTAAAGCATCAGAAGACAAACAATATGTTTTTCTTTCAAATATACTTGTGATGGTTTTACATGTTTTTCTGAAGTAATTTATACAAAGGTGTACAGAAATATATTTGATACCCTTTACAGATTCTTGAACACTACTACGTGTAGCTTTGTCTGACAAAAGCTCAAACAAAAAGGCATTGAAGTATGTGTTTGAAAAATGGGAAAAAATGTTAAAAACTTGAGACGTTATCAGTAATATACCATGCTACATAGTTACTATGGATTATATGAATCTTAACAAACTTGTTCCAGCTGATGTACTTCATTCTGGATATGGAAAATTTTCTACAATGTAAAGACAACCTTCTGCAGTCTTTTTGCCATGCTTTCTCAATCCCTACCAGCTTTTCCCAGCAAATTAAAGCCTTCTGGATGTTTGACCGTGGGCGCATTAAGGTACTCAATCATAAATTTAAAAAATCATTAGGATATAAATTCAACAAGATGTTTTTATCTGGATTCTTGTGTTTATACATGAAATATTATTTTATTTCTAAAAATCTGGGTAAATTTTTTCAAACCTTCCCAGGCTTCCATGGGGCTTTTATTGAGTCCAAAAGCTGCTGTCCCTCAGTTCTCCTGGCAGCATCGATATATTATCACCTCTCTGCTGAAAAGGAAGCAGAACCACATGGCACTGAAGTACCTTCAATGGACACAGCCTCCCATAGAGACCACTGAGGATGCAAAGCTTTTTGCAGAAGTGTTTCTTCAAAGCAGGTAAACTCTGGCTACTTCTTCCCTTTTTAAATAATAACTTGGATTTTTTAAATTGGCTTTTGGGTTATTTTCTGTCTCCACCTCCCAGTTGTGTGTCTGATGCTTGGAGCCTCTTAAAGAGAAGCCACACAGAAAGTGAGGACATGATTATGTACTTCATCCAGGCTTGTAGAGACTTTAATCTGGGTGCTGAGGCTTTAAAATACATACCTGAAGGATACGACGTGCGTTAATTATTTTAACTCATACAAAGCTATATTGGCTTTACACATCACAGGTTCTAAAACATCTTTAAAAACTCACTGTTCTTTAGGGTAAAGAGGCCTGTGGAGCAGCTGAAGTCAATATCGTGCACCTGAAGATTAAAGGTAATAAAGACTTTGATGAATTGCATCAGACAATAATGGAAGTGCTTTGCCTGAGAGTGGTCTTTTCTTCAGATTGTTTTGGTGAAATGACACCCTGCCCACTGTCTGCGACACTGTATCAGAATGAGACAAAAAGGCCGATGGGTTCAGAGAAACTGTTCAAACTGGTTCAAAAGGCTGTGACTGAAGTGAGAAAACCACATCTCAGCATGAGGTACTGAGGCCAATAAAAAAAGATTTCTTCTATATTCAGTTCAGGACATTTTCTAGTGGTTACGATGAGCATGAAGTTTCTTGCAAACTTGCCTAGAGACATTAATGTGATCATTACTGCATGTGTTTGGATCTTAGAATAGAGGAAATCTACATTAATCACAACTTTAAAAATGATTAGGCTCTACATTCAAGTTATAAACTTTAATAACAAAATTAGTAAAGCATTCCTGGTTAGTGCTAAATCTTTTAGTTTTATTTTATTTTTTATTTTTTCCTCAGGGTGTTTGTTTGGCCGAAGCAACCAAAGAGAAAGTCAAGCAGCAGAGAAATATTTCTGTCAGCTCAGGCTCTGCGTCGTCTCACCCCCAGCCCGTTCCCACTGGAAGCTTTGGAAGAAACAGAACAGAACGCAAACACAGAAGACTATTATGCTCTCAATTTTGTAAGTATTTTCTGTTTCCATCTTTACAACAAACAAATGTGAACATAATCTAAAGGGAAACAATCTGTGTCTTTTGTAAACATTTTACAGGATCAACCTGAGACACAAGAGGACATTCTGTCCTCTGAGAATCAGAGCTCCTTGTCTGCCTGTTCTTTCTCCTCGGCGTCATCAGCACCTCTTTTGAACCAGCCCCACGAGTTTGAGAGCACCATAACTCTACAGAAGATTTCAGCTCTGCTCACTGATCAGGAGATCCACAACAAAGGAGACGAAGAAGAGGAAAAATTCACCACAGTGGCTGATTGTTTTCCACCATGTTCAAAGCTTAAACTGACACCAGATGGTGCCATAGAACAACTTTCTCTTGGTACCTTTGACAAGAACAAAGCAATAATGTATTCTCTGGAAGGTGAAGTAGAAGACCATAAATGCATGACAGAAGAGGCTTATGCTGCTGCTAAAACCGTTTCCCACAAGATAGAAGAACAGTCACAAGGTTTCCTGCCGATTTCAGGAGATCAGGTGAGCAAAGCCCACATACATGGGATAGTATCAATTTTATTGCTCGTCTTTTAATTAAAGTTTTATGTGCAGGAAGCATATGAGGAAAGAGAAACTTCAGGATGTGGCATTCAAGACCTCTCGAGAATCCCATACACCCAGAATCGTGTGATTGGCCCAAACCACAGCTCTGCTTCACTCACTGCTTCACCAAACTTGTGTGAGCAAAACCGCTCCATCTTTTTCATGCTTCTTGTGCTTGTAGCTCTAGAACCTTGAGACCAACCTTTTGCATCACTAAGACCTGAAATTCTTTAGCTGCTGAGATTCCCTCTAAATTTAAAGGCTCATATGATCAGCTTTACAACAGTGCTTTTTAACACAGAGGGCCGGATTTATCAAAGGTTTGCGTGTATTAAAACGTGAGCTATTTCACTGCGCACGCTAAAAAATGTACAAACTGATCTATCAACAGCGTGCTAAAAGGATTTGGTCTTTAAAACGTGCTAAATAGCGCCTCTTATCCATTTAGTACTTTTTCTGCAATGAATATTCAATATAGGGCGTTTACACGCAAAAGTGCGTCTTGTGGGAGGAGAACATGTAAATATATTAATTTAGCACTCGCAAAGTGATTTATCAAACCTGAAAGCAATTTTGCTAACGGTATCTGACTCTATATTTAACACGTTTCAAAAGAAGGTGCAAATGGTCTGTATGCGTAATTGCGCACACATGGCAGCGGTTATTGTCGCAAGAAGGAGACATCGAAATGAAGCAATGAGACGCAGAGAACGCATTTTTTCACTCCGTGTGAATATTTTTGGAATGAACGAGGAAACGATCATCAAAACATATCGTTTATCCGGCATTGCCATTTTGGAGCTGTTGGGGGAACTCCGAATGGATTTGGAGCCAGCCACAAGGAGGACCCACGCAATACCAGATATCTCCTTGCAACATTGCACTTTTTTGCATCTGGGATCTCCCAATCTCGTTTTTCAGAAGTGCTGTCCGACGTTCTAAATGCCATGTCGCCCTGACGCCCTATCGGAGAACCCCGACACCCTGCGCCTGTGGAGCAACATGCCAATGCAGTCATCTTATCCACAGTCACTTCTTGTGAGCCATTTGGTATGTGCATTGTTCTACAGGCCGATACAAAACACCTGTTTTTTTTTTTTTGTTTGTGTGTTTTTTTCTTACTGCGGTGAAGTAGAAATTCAGCCACATACCACCTTAGGGAATAAAGGTTGCCAAAGTTTATATATATATATATATATATATATATATATATATATATATATATATATATATATATATATATATATATATATATATATATATATATATATATATATATATATATATATATATATATATATATATATATATATATTTCTTTTTTTGGAGGGGGTGGTGTCACTGTAAGATTAAAAATTCTTAGTGCACTAGTTTGCACAAACTACTTTGCCGCAAACCACAAAACGCGCAAAACCATCATTTAAATAGGGCGTCTCCAACAGTTTTGCGCCTGCCACCAGTTACGCAATCGCTCTTGTTAAATCACCCGCAAACCATGGTTCAGCCCCTCGCGCAAAATTCCACTTTGCGAGCGCAAATTACTGCACGCAAAATTGGATCTTGATAAATCCGGCCCAGAGTAAAGCTTGTATTTCACAAAAGTTATCTTGTTCTTTATTTTCAAAATTAAGAAATACATAAAAAGTTTAAAAGAAAGTTCCACCACAAGTCAAAATTGACAGAGAAATAATATGTTCCTCAGTCATTAAAAGCATAACAATGGCCAAACAACACAAAGTAAATGGCTTGAATGAATTAAAACTTTATAATGCGATTTATCCAGCAAGGAGAAGAAAGTCATGTGAAATTAGGAGTAGAATCAAAACCTAAACAACCCTACCCAGGGAATTCAAATCTCGCTGAAGTGAGCCCATTCAGCAAAGTAAGTAATAATTTCTTACAAATTAAATTATTTAAAAATACTATATTCATGACAGCTTTAAAATAAACACTTTAGTCTTTGATCCAATTTGAACCAGCGTTGTTACCCTGATACACATTTCCTTCCTAATCTCTGTCTACATCACGCCGTATATAAACAGGATAAAGTAGTGATAAAAATCTAACTTTTAATCTTCATGTAGACTTGCCTGCTTTATAGTGATGTAGTGGTTGAATCATCATTTTGAGAACAGCATCTTTTAGGCCAATATATCCCCTTTATTTTAATATGTGCAGGTAATGATCTTGTGCAAACAAGTCGTCCAACCTGAAGTAGTCACCTTAAGCTAATACCTACACTGCAGAAAGAAAACTAAATTATATGTGGGAAAATTATTAACTATATTTTTAAGAGATAACCCAAGAGCTGATGATAAGCATCTATGGTTAAGAATTCAGGTAGTTGAATCAAAGGGTTGAAGACTGGAGAGAGATTGGCTCCCTTAACCTTGCTGCAGCAGTCATTCAACCATAAAACAACCTCTGTGTCTCCACTGCATTTCCCCTGCCTAGTTTCCTGTTCTGGGGATGGGGGGAGTATCTTTCAGCTCTGCAGATGCACCTCCTTTGATCACAGCTGGGCCTGTTGTCCCTCGCTCCTGATGCTTTTTTTTCACCAGGTCAGGCTGGAAGACATAGGTCAACTGTCAAATAACATCAAAAGAAGGGTTCCTAGCCAAAGATCCATACTATGGGATGTTTTATTTGAAAGAGTAGCAATGCTCAAACCATTCCTAATACATGGTTCTCCTTCTGGTAATTCACAGATAACATAGGATCTCCCTGTATAGTTGGTCCCTCATTCACTGACAGTCTGGCCATCTTCAATGACTTCTCTGCAACGCAAATGGATAACATACAGGTAAATTATGAAAAGGATTTGTGATCTGCGGTGTTGAACCTTAGTTGGCCCAGAGGTGGCACTATTGCTCCAGTTAAGATAGTAGGTAAGGGTGGGATGATCTCATTTTTAGCCCCTGAGGATCTTTTCCTCATCACATCTCAGCAGGTGTCCTCTTTACTCCCCTTCATCTCTTGTTCTTCCGTCCTCCAGCATAAACATCACTCCTTTCAAGTCCCCCTCCCACAATGATGTCATTTTTCAAACATGAATTCAGGACATTTTCTAACAAAACATCCATAATTGTTGCTTTTGGAAATGTAACAAAAAAAACTTACCTTTTAAGAGCTTTGTTGTTGTTTTTTTTAAGTAATAACTGCAAAACTACAGCAAAATGAGTTTGTTTTTATATTCTTTACAGATGAAATTCTGTAGAACATGGTATTTATAGTTGAACTTATGCACTTTACTGGCTCCTTAAATTTTTGCAGTTTGCCAAAAAGGATCAAATTAATTTAAAAGAGAGAATCTGTGAACAGCTATTATTAAGCAACAGTGGACTGAGGTCAGGATATTGACAAGACAATTCAAACACATGAACACCTTGTTTGTCTTCTGGGGAATGCGCACTTAAAAACTGAGTATATATTGTTATTTTAGCGCTTACTTTATTCTTAAAAGCCCTTAAAAAGTTGGATTTTTGGAATGCAAAACTAAAAGTTCAAAAGTTCAAAACTAAAAACTAAAAGATGGGCATATCTTGGTTGGAAAATTCCTCTGATTTAATCATGTTTTCAACTCAGTTTATTTATATAGTGCCACTTCTGAACACATGTCATCTAATGGCACTTTGTAGAGACAATTGAATCAAATCACACAGCTTGGTTAGAAGTTTTATATCTAAGAAAATCCAGCTTATTGCATCAAGTTACAATCTTTGCAGGATATTCTCCTCTTAGATGACCATTTAGTGACAGTGGACACTGGCATTCTGTAATTGACACTAAAGCAAATCCTCTTACACCAAGCATGCATACAGTGACAGCTAAGAGGGAAAAAAAAACAAATTTTAACACCAGGAAACCTCCAACAGAACCATACATAATGTGAGCAGTTGGCAGTAGCCCAACTTAGGGTTCAAGGAGACAGAAGCAGGCATTCAAAAGGAACAGAGAATTACTGATCCATAAATATCCATAAAATGTTAGAAAATGTAATGGTAAACTAGCTCCATATATCATTCACAATTTAAGTCTTTGATGGCAGAAACCCAGCTTATGTCTCCCTCCAGGAAATCTAGATAGTGTCAGGCCATATAAAGCTACTAGGATGATAAAAAAGGAAGAGAACTTAATGTCAGAAGCTGAACTAACAAATAAGGGTGAATTAGAGGGTAGAAGCATAATGAAGCAGACTAATGAAAAGTGGTCATATGTCATCCAGCAGCCTGCCTATAGCAGCCTATAGAGTTAGCTCATGATAACCTGTGACTCTTTAGCTATAAGTTTAATTCAAAAGGGAAGTTTTAAATGTAGTCTAACAAGTAGACGGGGTGTTAAAACTGGTAATTGATTCCACTTTTAGAATTTCTGTAGGAACCACCAGTAAATCTGCTGATTTAGAACAATGTACTCGGATTTCAACATGGGGAACAATCAGATCTCTGAAATGGGATTTAAATGACAAGTCCTGATAAAGGCTTTTACATTACTCTCAGAGGCCAATTTAATGGCATCCAGATGTAAATAAAGACTCTGGTCAGAAAATAAAAGACAATAATTTCTTTTATTGCAAAAATGATCTAGAAATAAATAAAAATTAAGTGTATTTAGCCTTAATTTGAGCAGGTAAATAAGATGATTTGCCAATGAAAACATTTTTTTTACTCCAAAAATAATATAATTAGAAAATATGTACTTGAAATAAGACAATGCAATTTTATTCTCTGTAAATTGTCTTGGTCCATTGTGTCCCACTTACCTCCTCAATTCAAGAAAAAATGCACTTGTTTTAAGAAAAAATTACTCATTGAGATTTCAATTTTTGTGCAGTTTTCTTGTCTGCATTCAAAAGCCTAAAACTTAAAATCTAAGTTTCAACAGGATTTATGGAAAAAATATAGCTGAGTATCATCAGCACAACAGTGGAAATCCTGTCCGATAATTTTACCCACTAGAAGTACGGTATATAAAGAATTGGCCCTAGCATTGATCCTTGTGGTACTCCACAAGTAACCCTAGAGCTTAAAGAAATGTATCAATAACTGAGTATATTCTGAAATCTGTTTGACAAGTAGGATTTAAACCCTCCTAGGGCTGCTCCCCTAATTCCTAAAGCACATTCAATCCATCCTAAAGAAAATTGTGATAAACTGTGTCAATTGCATTATGTGAGGCCTTTAGAATATCATTAGTGAGTTTCATCAGTGCTTTTTTAGTGCTATGATCAGTTTTAAAACCCTTACTGAGACTTGGAGGCAGGGTAAGTGCTTACACGCTTTGTTAGCAACACATTTCTCAAGACTTTTAGATAAGAAAGGAAGATTAGATATGTTTTTATAATTGATCAAGTTCAGATCAAGTCAATTTGGATCAAGAGAAGGTTTTTAATGAAAGGTTTAATTGTAGCGGCCATAAAAGCCGGTGGTATATACCCTTGTATTAGGTATGAATTTATTTTTTGGCTATGTTCAAGACCCTATCTGAATAGGTTAAGGATTGGGTTAAAGTAGAGCAGGTGTAAAGAGGTGTGTTAGAGAATCTACATTCAGCCCATCTTGATGATAGATTGAACGCAGCTCCATAAGATGTTCCAACTCAGCCCTGCTTTAAGGTTTTCCGCAACCTTATCTCTAACGTGCCTGCTGTGTTCCTTGGGTTTAATAAAAACAAATAAATTCACATAAGACCTCATAAGACTGGTTTATCTAAACTTAGATTAAATATCACAGGTTTTTTCACTGGATATCTTGGAACTAATTTAGATCATTTAACTTAAACCAAACTTTCATCTGGTTTGAGAAACACCAAAAGGTATTTAAACCAGAAGATGAAGTGCAAAATTGGAAGAAAAACACACTTGGATTGATTAAAACCCACAAATAAAGCTCCAGCAATATCATGCCTTTGTTATTATAACTTGAAATGTTAAAGATTTAAGGCGAGATGAATGGCCTCAATTAGAAGCATTTAATCAGCAGTTGGCCCAGTGCTTTCAGGCTCATGCACCGCCTCCCTCTCAAGGGGGAAGATTAATGGATACAGGATATTTCATTAAGCCCTTCACATCCCTGTCCAGGATATGAGGCTGTAATTGTCTGTTTTGTGCACTTGTTTTCTGTTGTAGGCAGAAGGATTGGAGCCTGGGGGTTGGAGAGGGAAGGCTCAACAACATGGAGCCATGAGAAGTGGAAGAACACTGTCCAGGAAAGGAAAACATTTGAAGAGAACATGAGGACAAATTATGCAAAATGAAGAAAGCATTTTACTGATATGCAGCTCTTGATTTTGATCTCATGATATCCTCTCCCCTCATTAGACATACAGTACTAGCAACATGTACTCAGTGCATACATTTTTAAAATGCTTCTCTAAGTGACCTCGATCTGAAGAGCTGTAACAACCTTGGTTTATTTCTTTTTAGAATCAACTGTTCAGCATTAAACAGATATATGCTGCTTTGAATAAAAAAAAAACAAATTCCCCATTAAAATCCAATATATTTAGAAATGATTTGCTACTTAGATTGCTTTTTTTTTTTTTTTGCTTGGGGAAAAAAGGATGCTTGCTTTGCTGCCATAGCATCTCATGAAAAATGAATGACCTTCCAATGCTTTCTTCTGCCCATCCCTCTCTATATTTACCCAAAGTCCGGGGAATGCATCTGGGTAAGCATCCCCCCCACTTATCCCTCTCTTGTTCGGGTGGGTGAATAACTTAAGACAAATATTTCAGGTTGACACACTTTTCCTGTGGGTCTCCTTGGGTGCCCAGTTCATGAGCCCACACATGCTGTGTTATTTAAAAGTGGGCTTTGGAGTTCTGCTCATGTAATCTCCTCTGTGTGATTTTTTATTTTTTGTTTAATTTATCAATAGTTTGACCTTGCAGTTGCTGTGGCACTTCTCAGACTAGAAGCTGTTCTAGGTCGTTCTTATCAGGGACAATATTGGTCAATCTGTTTCATAACTGCAATAATCTTAAACAAAATAATGAATTCTATTATTTTTAATGCTTTTATTTTTGCATACATGTATGTCATAGACTTTATGATTGTTTTTTTGATAATCCAAATTGTTATTTTCATTAAATGTTATAGAATCACAGGGGCGGATCCAGGATTTTTCAAAGGGGGGTGCGCACCTAAGGGTCATGGGGTCAAGGGTCACAGGTCAAGACTATGTGAGGCTAAAAGACCAAAGAATACCATCTTCACTCTTTCACGCTACCCTAATTATTCATCCAAGGGTTTATAATTGATAATTTTAATGGATGAACATAAGTAGAATTAGCATGATTACATTATTGTAAATTAAAAAGGATCTCTCGGTTTTTAATGCATGCACAAGGTTAAAAGGTAGTTTGAAGAAAAAAAAAAAGATCCTTATCAACAATTAATCAAACAAGGAGTTTCTTTATTTCCAGAAATGATATTTACACAGAACATTAAATAAAAAAAAATAAAAAAACAAGGACTTGGGTTCGAGTAAGACAAAAGAGTTTTGAATATATTTTAACAAGATAAACTGTTGAAAAACAAAAAAAACAAAGTTAAACCAGACAAAGAATATTGTTCTCTACTACAAACTTTATGATGATGATAATGAGTTTACAAATGTCAACCTTCTGGGATGCTTCTGGGCAAATGTGTCTATGATTTTGTTGATGTCTAACTGAATGTCCTTGTGCACATACAAAAGTAGCAAAGCCAAAAACCTTTCCTGTCCCATTGTTGACCTCAGCAAAGTTTTCACTGCTTTAAGACCCGAGTTAGCACGTTCCACAGAGGCACTGGTAACAGGTATGACTGACAGAAGGTGAAGAATCATATAAATGTTTGGGTAGCACTTCATATTTGTTATCTTTAGAATTTCAGGGAGAGAGCGGGGTTTTTCCACTGATGATGACCACTTTGTGTGCCACAACTTCACTTCCTGCCTGAATGTTGATCCTTACGGTAGATCATCTTTATATAATGTAAAAATGATAAAAAGTCATACTTGTCCAGCCAGTCCCTCTGGCATGTTTTTTTGGTCACCCCACTGGCTCTTCGGTTGTCTTTAAATTCTCTGGCAGGGAAATTGAAAGATTTGGGTTTTCTGGTCTGAAGAAGCTGGAATTTTCCAGAGTCATCCATTTCACTAATCCGGTCCTTGGCCTTTGATATATCTGTAATAAGATTGATATTTACATTGTCAATTTTACATGGGTGCTGGTGGAGTTGTAAATCTGCCTACATGAAGATTTTGTATAGTCTTGCTTTATTATGAAATAATTATTATAAAATGTAAGATTTCAAGATTAAGCAAAAAAGTCAATCATGTAAAACAAAATTAGTTGTTTTGACATTGAAAAAAATACAACTATTACTAACCTATGTCGTAAGTTGTTTGGGGCAAATCTGCTTGGTTGAGCGCCGGCTCTTCAGTTGTCTTTAACACGGTCCTTGTTGTTCATCTAGAAAAGTAAATAATTTTTGTGATCAGGTAAACCTTGTAATCTCAGGAGGAGCCACAAAACAATTTAATGTTGTGGTTTTATCGTAAATTATTAAATTCACTGAACACATTTCACCAGGTGCACAAAACTGAATTTACTTAAAAGTAAATTGTATTTTTATTGTAAAATATTAAATGCACTGAAAACAAATAACAGCAGATTTGTAGTTATCATATCACAATGTTAACAAGACTCCCTTAGACTCCAAGCATGTGCTTAGAGCATTCATTGATTTGGATCCTTACCAATTGATAAAAGTTAGTAATGTTTTCGTAAAGGATACCATTCTTATTTTAACAGTACAACACATGTGGTACAGGTTTAGACCCAAAAATACACACTACAAAATAACTATTGTATGCATGTCAATGGCAACTAATGTTGCTTATTTTTGTTAATTGTACACTCTTTTTATTACTTATCAAACGCTGCAATTTTTATAACTTTCCCGTTACTGGTTAAAGTATTCCTACAATTGCATTACTTTGCAACTTTAAACAACTTGTTTATCAACAATCAACAATGTTGATAATGTTTTCTCATTATCAACATTTTCTAGCAATCATCATACCTTTTATCTGTGTGTCTCCAATATCTGAACGTTCATCAACGCTGTGGTCATTTTCTGTAGTTGTGCCAGGTCCACTGAAGAATAGAAAACAAGATATAAACATTTCAATCTGTGTTATTTAGATTATAGACATAAGCCTTTAGAAAATAAAGTGATAAAGTTGGTTTCTACTTACCCTTTTGTTGGATTGGACCAGAATCTTAAAAGAGATGGCTGTCTGGCTTTCTTGTTTGGCCTTAAATCTTCCAGGTCTCCTCGTGCTGGCAACGACGCTATTGTGGTATGGCAAGCCGATTGGGCCAATAATCGTCCGTACAATAACGCGCAGTTCCAACCCGTATTTTATGCGGGTGCGCGTTTTTTACGTCACCGCGCGTTTCCAGCCACCAGCCACTGCAAAAAGCCATGGTTAAATTGATGCCATCTAATAAACAAAACCTTAGTCAGCAAAGTTGCTAAAATGTAAAAACACTAAGATTTTATTTTGATGAAATTTAAACCTAGAGAGTCTTTTTGTGAGTAGATACATACAATGATGGCGTAAAGTTTTTGTAACTATTTTCTGCTTTAAAGGAAAATCAACAACATATGAGTTTCCGATACATACTCATATAGAAAACTTCAAAAGGCCATAACAATAGGTTGGTGAGACTCTCTGTCATTCAGGTAATAGTCATTCCAATAAAAATAAAAAAACAACAAAAATCCACTGGACTTTGTATCCAAGTTTGAAGACGTTTCACTTCCCATCCAGGAAGCTTTTTCAATCCAAAATGTGAGAAATAGGGTTGAGTTCGAGTGGCTTAGAAAACATGCAAGTTGAACCCGGCGAACGGGTCCTCCCCTTTGGAATAAGGGTCATTTGGTGTCTTTGTTAACCTGTAATACCCGATACCTGTTTGTGTCTCTGAAAGGGGGGTCGTCAAAGGGAACTGTTGGCCTAGCTGAACATGCAAGTTGTTCAGTTCCCCTGTGTGGGGTTGGGGGTAGCGATGATAGAGGGAAGGAATCAACTCAATAGCTGAATTATAGGTTTTTTAAAAAGATGGAAGCTGAGTGAACCCCTTTTGTTCAAGGTTGTTTTTTCTTTCTTAACATAGATGGCTTCCTTCACACCCGTCTCAAACCACCTCTGTTCTTTGTCCAAAATGTGAATATTTTGGTCCTCAAAAGAATGTCCTTTGTCCATAAAGTGTAGATGTACCGAGGAGTCTTGTCCCGAGGAGGTCGCTCTTCTGTGTTTGGCCATGTGTCTGTGGAGAGGCATTCCTCACTGCATTGAACTGCATACACCACTCTGTTCATTTTTGGTCTGGGGGTTTGTCTTAAGGATGCACCAGTCTCTGTTTAAGGGTCTTGATAAGTTTAAAATGTACTGGGATTTTGTTTTAGGAGACATAACAATAACAATACCATTATTTTGCCATAACAATACCACAGTAAGTGATGTTGAAAGCTTCTCAGTGCTTTGGAATCAAATTAACTCTCAGGCCAAAACCTCTCACACACAAACATAACTCAAGCTAATCTGCAAGCTGATAACATCATGGAAATCAGACTGCAGAGCTGCGGCAAAATGACACCAGACCTAAATCACACACCAGGCAGATAATGCAAAATACTGCAGTTTGTATGATGGATACAAATAGCCTCCTGTTATCGCCAAAGCGCCCATATAAATGCTTGTATTTATGTCCTATTGAATATTGTAAAACAAACTGCAGGAATACTAACACATCCAGAGGTAAAATGAAACCATGGAAGCCCTTATGATGAAAATGAGCTGGTTGTGCCCCTTCACAGCAAATTCTTCAAAATGGCTTTCCTTTTTTTAAACAACAAAATAACTATATTTTTCCCCCCTTATTTTGTTGTTTAAAAAAGAAATAAAGGTGTCTTTTATAGAAATATATATTTTTTGACATTCTGCAGGAAATATCTTTACAATAAAGCTGGTTATAGTAAGACGTTTTAAAAATAGCAGCTGGGTTTTGGCCCACTGTAGGGCGCTGTGAGCAGTAAATGTTAAACCAAGGGGACAAAGACACCTTGGTCAGCTTAGCAGATGGGCTCATTGGAGCATGTAAGATGGCTGCGACAGGCAGCTACCTGCCCTTCCCCAAAGACTGTCACCATTTGTAAACAGGTCATTACTCTTATTTGTAAGTATGCATTGGACAATGTGTCATTGAGCATCAAAGAATAACTCTGATGACCGGTAGCTCTCCCAACAGAACCTGATTGTTTTCTATTTGTTCTAATTATTATTTTTAAGATAATAAATCTGACGACACCCCTTGTAAAAATTCAAATGTATATTAAAATGTTGTTTTAGGACGAAACGTATAGTTATTATATATAATCATGTAACATTTCTGGTGTATTTATAGGAACCACATGTGGCAGGGCATTATAAAAAAAGAACATGTATGAAACACGGAGGCTGGATAATAAAGGAAAGATGGCAGACAGAGCACAATAGAGTTGGCAACACTATAATCCTGCAAGGAGTAGAAGAAACCGAAAGGCCAATGTGATAAATAGCATGTGAACTAGATGCTTTAGCACTAAAACTGAGTGGGGATATGCACTGAGGACCTGAAGAAATCTGATGCAGAAGGGTCTATCCTGTAAAAGCTAAAAAAAAAAAAAACAAAAGAAAAAAGAAATTACATAAAGTTCTTATAGTACAAAGCATTCGTAGCAGGAATATCAAAACTGCAACTTCATAAGGAATGCAAAATATTGTCGGTACTTATGACACCTTTTCAAGTTAGGGGATTTCAAAGTTCTAACACAGCATTCACTCATTCACGCACACATTCACATACTTGTGGTGATTAGCTACACTAGCCACAGCTGCATTTGGGCACACTGAGAAAGGCCAGGCTGCCCTTTACAGGCGCCACCAGGCCCTCTGACCACCATCAGTGTTGTTACCCAAGAACAGAATGACTGAGACAGACCAATATGGTATTTCTTTATTAACTCGTAACATTTTAAGAAAATAAATATATTTTTAGCCTATCTTTTAAAGCAATTTAACTTCTGTTGGGTACTATAAAATAAAACAATAATAGCAAAAACTGCCGTTTTACACCCTCAGTCGGGGGACCACCAGGAATTTGGGGCCTAATGAAATACATTGATATTACCCCCCACACAAAAAAAAAATGTATGCAAGCTTTAAAACTGTTATAAAGATGCACTAAAGAGTATCATTTACATTGTTAATGTAACTTTTACTGTAAAATTTCTACAAAGGAAATGTATCATAATGTGGACAAGTTAAATATAGCTATAAGGTTTCACTATACCCTTATTGAAGGACAGGTTATTTTGATACTGGGCATGGGAACTAATTTTTCATTCCTGTATATGTGTAATTAATAAAAACATGTAGTTGTGGTGTGGATGCTTTAGGCTGCTCATGAGAATGATCAAGATTTATAGATGTCTTTTAATGGTATAAATTGGTAGAATATACAGACAGTGGTGTCAAGTAACAAAGTATTTGCACCTCGTTACTGTCCTTAGGTGTCTATACTTTACTACATTATTTTTCTTCCTACTTCTGACTTCTACTCATTACATTTTCACACAAGTATCTGTACTTTTTATTCCTTACATTTTTAAAACAAACTTTACTCGTTATTCTTGGCTTTGGTTTAATTTCTATAAATATTTATTTCATGTTATGTGTGCCATCCAATGAAGATCATTGGCGCCATCCACATCTAGTGAAAACTAGTGTAATTGGATGAGTCGCATAACGCACTCATTGGTTAGCTAAAGGAAATCATCAGAAGCAAGCAGGTGTTCTTTAAACTGCAAACGCTAATTGTCTATGCCATGCTATGATGTCAGATTCAGAAAAAGATGTTGAAATGTCTGAAAGGCCAGACACAGGCGAGAGAATTTCAAGAGATGGAGACCAACAAGACGTCCCTCATCCTTGGTCCTATCTCAAATAATTTTATTTTCGAAATAGTCGAAAAATCGAGCTTTCATTTTATATAGTAGCATCTGCCTGTTTTTTAAAGGTTACTTTATACTTTTATACTTTAAGTAGTTTTTGGAGCTCATACTTTTTTACTTTTACTTGAGTAGAGGTCAAGTTGATACTTCAACTTTTACCAGATTTTTTTTTTAACTGCAGCATCTATACTTCTACTTAAGTAACAAATGTGAGTACTTTTGACACCACTGATATTATAATATGATAGAATAGAATATATGTTCTTTTTGGGGGCCCCCTCAGTCAAGGGCCCTTAGAATCTGCCTAATCCCCCCCTTACAGCGCCCCTGCTCTCAGTGGAATCCTCCTCAGATGTCTGGGATGTGATCAGCTGTGGAGGAGTCCATCTCCACGGTCTGGATGGAGAGAAGATGGAGAGCCCTGAAGGCCTCACTTCACTCATCCATTTGCGTCACGGCGCATCCTCGGATGCTGCGCCTCCGTCTCCACTGCGCAGCCGCACTTTCTCCGGGAGGCAGCAGGCAGAGCCGCCAAGATGGCCCTGGATAACCTGATCTTCGCTCAGTGCATCCTCTATTTCCTGGCCTTTGTGTTCGGCTTCATCGCCGTTGTGCCGCTGTCCGAGAACACGGAGGACTTCGGTGGGAAATGCCTGCTTTTCACGCGTGGAATGTGGCAAAACGAGAACATCACCGTGTCTAAACAGCGCTTCATCGTGGATGAGTGGGGACCAGAGTGCTCCTGCAGCTTCGTCACATTTGTCGGGATTGCATCCCTCATCCTGTCCGCAGTGCAGGCGTGGAGGCTGCTGTTCTTTCTGTGCAAAGGACACGACGAGTGAGTGATGGTGCATAATCACCTTTAGAAGCGCCTCACGAGTTTCCATAAAACCTAAATCTATGTAGCCTGCAGAAATATCTGAAAACGTTTATGTCACAATTTGAAAATACATCTACCTGTACACCATGTAGTTATCTTTCCTGGAAACTGCAGAAAAATGCTGCACCTCTTCAAAATATATATAAAAAAGAAAAAAGTTTACGTTTTTAAAATGACACATCAGCTATAAAAGTCTTCTAACTGAAAGACACCCTCTTATCAAGGCTGTATCATAATTATCAGGTTTTATTACTTTGATGTCTTGAAAAGTTTAGTGGAAGGAAAAAGTGTGTAAAAAAAGAAAAAAAAAATGAACAGGCAACAAATTAAGCCAATATTCATTTGTTGGTCAACCCTTTTTTAGGAGTCTGCTGGGATAAACCAGAAAAAGTGTATTAAAACTCAGTGCTATGAGTGCACTCGCTTCAGCCACACTCAGTTTGGGAATTTTATGTTGTATTTGTTGGCTATGCATCCTGTTAAAACTGTCTTGATCCCTATTGTCAATACATCTTTTCCTTCTCATGCCTTTCCATTATTGCTATAGTTTGACACAGCGTTCAGTTTATTTAGCGATGACTTTTGTGGTTCTTATGTAAACAGCTGTCAGCTTGACCCCTGTTAAAACAGCATATTTCCCTTAAATGTTTTGGCCATAGAATTAATTGAAAAACTAAGAAAAAAAAAAAGGTTTTCTGAGAAAGGGTTTATATATATATATATATATTCATCATCACTATAAAAGTTTTACATTTTTATTCTTGTTAAAAAAATCTCATTTTTTTATTTGTTTTTGTCAATTAATTTTAATTGAACATGCTCCTGTATTTAAGCTTCAGAACGAGTTTAGAAACATCTTCAATTTTTTTTCTTTCTCCTTGCAGCTCATTTTTCAATGCCTTCCTCAACCTGATGATCAGCTCCCTGTTGATGTTCACAGTCTTCCTGTCCAGCACCATTGTCAGTGTGGGTTTCAACCTGTGGTGCGACTCCATCACTGAAAGCGGGAAGATGCCTAACAGGTGACGTATGAGCACACAATCGGCGGCTTTCAGGCCGATGCCTCATACAGTCTGCTTTAATGTCTGATCAATCTTTTTAGCTGCGAGGAGCTGCAGGACATGGATCTAGAACTGGGCCTTGATAATTCCGCTTTCTATGATCAGTTCGCAATAGCTCAGGTAAGGAATCTGGTTTCATACAGAAGCTCAGCCAAACAGCTTAATGATTATTCAAAATCCGGTCATAAAATGAGGATGTCTCTATTTTAGTTTGGCCTTTGGGCTGGCTGGCTCACCTGGCTTGGGATCACAGTGTTAGCCTTCCTGAAGGTCTACCATAACTACAGACAGGAGGACCTGCTTGATTCCCTGATCCAGGAGAAGGAACTGCTGCTTGGACGCTCCTCACGCGGCGCCTCGGACCTCAAGACTGGCCTGATCTAGAATCTACTGGCTGAAACACTCGCATCTTACTCATACAGCGCTGGTCACAAGTTTAGATGCACCTATCTGCTTTAATCTCATGCATTTGAACCTTTTTTAAATCATAGTGTACTAATAATACATAAAACCCCTTTATTTTAAAATCAATAAGATGCACAATTTCTCTTTGACCTGTTAATGGTCCAAATCCCATGAACATTGAGTAACGTTTGTAGCCTTCAAAAGCTTCTAATTTGATTTTGGAAGGCTCTTCTTAGCTGAAATGATGGACTTTACTTATACAGGTTAGCTTCCAGGCTCCAACCAATGTTTTTAAACACAATGTATTTCCAGTACTTATCAGGAACTACCTCTGATCCTTGACAGATCCATACCATGAGTAAGGAGATCAGTTTAGTCTTAACTGTAAGCTCCTCACCAACTGTATTTTCTTCCATGAAAAACCCTCCTCCTCTCCTTCCTGGTGTCCTCCCAGTCAACATGCTCAATACCAAACATGCGAGTTAACCTTGTGCCAAATCCTCTGGAGCTAACAAGGCCCCACTGAGGGACCTCTTTTGTGTTCTTTGACATAAATTGCTACATTTTATTGGCTGTTTAGCTGCATATGCATTGAACAGCCATGCTGTTCTGTTTACATACCATTTCATGCACACGCTGGTTGAGCTGCTGCTTAACAAATGCTCTGTTCACTATTCCGGAATGTCACCAGTTCACTGCTTATTCCTCGTAAAAATGCTCTAAATCATTCTATTGCACAATTAGTCTATTGTCATCATGACAATATCGCGTCGTCTCATAATACATCGTGTAAAAAGCATATTTATTACCCACACTTAGATCAATTCAAGCGTAGTTTCTTTAGGGTGAGAACTTCCCAAAATCTCTCTTCCCAAATTTCTGTTTTTCCATTTATGATGAAAATGCTAATGGCGGAACCAATCTTGCACCAATTTAATTAACCCCCCTCGAGATAAAATTACAGTGAGTTATTTTAATTTTATCTGAGGCTTATGTGAGAGATCACGATCTTAAGACCCTTAGGTTTAAGCTTGGTTGAAAGGTGGTTTTGGAAAGGCTGAATGAGTTCTATGTAGATTACAGTTTATAGACAGATGAAACGAATATTGAGCTTTTTACCTGAACGTCCAGGATGAGAGAAAGTAACAGCTTGCTTAGCCTGGCATTATATAAGGTGAGCAGAGGCATGCTGATATTTATCCGACAGACAGATGTTTAGATGTGGACGACTCCTCTCCCCCCGCCCCCTACCATCAGGTTTAGGGATGTTTGTGGAGCCCAGTTGGCTAGAGCCTAATGAATTCAAGCCGCTTGCTTCAAGGCACTGACTCATCCATGTGGCCGAGGACAGGATGACTCGCCACCGGGGTGTAGGTCTGTAATTATACCTGAATGTGAGGCTATAATGACTAAAACCTATAAGAGAAAGTCTTTACTGCAATGCAATAAAAATAATGCATGCAAATCTAAAATGTGGGTGGAATAATGTAGAGAGATGACTAAATCTCAACATTATCACGAATAAACAACCAAATGGTAAAACATCGACATACACTGCAAAAACAATATAAAAATTGGGAAAATGTCCCTGAAATAGGTGTATTTACTCTTAATTTGAGTAGGTAAATAAGATTATCGGCCAATTAAATTACTATTTTACCCTAAAAATAAGATAATTAATTATTAAGCACTTGAAATAAGAGGCTGTTCTTGTTTTTCTTATATATTTTTTTATATAAATATAGGGTGTCTTATTCTACTGGCAGTGTCTCACATACCTGCTCAATTCAAGACAAAAATATCTCTTATTTTGGTAAAAGTTGACTAAGATTTAAAATTTCTGCAGTGTAGGTGGTTGTTGTAATAGAACATTGATACAACACATACAAACTGGCTTTGGAATAAAGCAGCCAAAAATCATAGGTTTTGAAAAAAAAAAAAAATTCAAATATCTTGGAAAAAAACTAAAGAAAATAGTTTTATATTTACCCTCTATTTTTATAGTAATAAATATCGGTTGATTTTAGAAAACAGGTGATTAAGATTGATTTTTTTTGTTTATTGAGGTGAGTTGCCTTTTAATTCCTTAACTTTAAAAAAAGGTTAAGTGTGCAACTAAAAGTCAAAAAATGAAAATGCCAGTTGTTGTGACTTTATTAAACCTGTGACCAGAGCTGTAAGTTTTCATCCGCCATACGATTCACCAACGTTTGCCTGTGGAGACAATCCAAATCAATTGGCCTCTGCTTCCATTGAATGCAGATCAAGTCAAATGGATCATTTTCTCCTTTGAATAAAGCTTAAATTTAGTCAAGATATGCAGATCTTGATTACCCAAAGCCAAATGTTTACACAACTATTTACCTGAAATATAAACTGGAGTTTTCTTTAATTAATTTTATCATATTTAACCACTCAGTATTATTGAGGAAAAATTTGGTAAAAACAAGTTTCTTTGTAAAACTTTTGCATGGTACCCATTGCATGACAAAATAGAGATGTTTCTTTAGATATAAAGATAATTATTTTTTTTTTGGTCTTCAGATAGATTTTCTCCTTAGTTATGCTTTTATTTTGAAAAAGTAGTGAACTGAGAATCATTTGCATGCTTAAGCAAAGTAGAAGACGTTGCGCTTCATGCTACAAAACATTATATTTTACTACTCTGGCATATGTAAATGTATGTATACCTGCATGCCTTTTCTTGGCATTTAATCACATCTTACAAGTCAGGAAGAGCACAAGCAAGTTATGTGACTTTGATAGGTACACTTTTATTTAAAACAATTGAAATCATAAAACAACATGAAATAAGAAAACCCTCTATAAAGGCACTTCTTTCAAAGTGACCATAAATGTTGAGACAGCAGTAAAAAGCAGCTAAGTGTGCATATACAAGATGTAAGTTTACTGGGAATCCATTTTATTGCTATGGTCAATTTAGTTTGACAGTACTGAGCTGTGAGTGTTTCTTTTTTTTTTTTCCTCTGTGCAGGCATAGCTTTACCTTTTATTGCTTCAAACCTCAAATGTGAGATCTCCACAATCAAACACAATCACGTTGATTTCCCTGAAACCTGCCATGCAGAGAGCACTGCTCTAATGGAAACTGTGCTGTGTGTTATTGCTCATAACGAGAGGTATGTAGGATGTGCATCACTCTGCCTTTCGATTCCCATTTGTTCCATTCGTGTGCAAGTTTGGCTGCTTTTCTGAATTTCTTTCATTCAGTAAAGGGACTCATATCTAACTCATACCTTCAATAAATTCAGTATCTGTTCCTGATAGATCTCTGTGTTTGGCCTCTGTTGCATGGTATGCGAGTGGGAATATTAAAACAATTCAATTGGATTCGGCAGAACATTAAAGGTTTCAAAATAGTAAAAAAAAAAAAATTTAAACATTTTTGGGATACTTGCATTGATGCAGAAAAACAGTGGAAGATAGACATATATGTCACACTTGGGAATTAAGGGTAAAGCGTATCGGCATTTGGGGTGGGATTGTTTAAACTGTTCTTATACAGTACCTTGAAAAAGCATTCAGCCCACTCCCTCACATTTTGTCACAGTAAAACCAGAGACTAATCATTTTCTGGATGAAAATTGATATTTTCAATTATTTCTTTACAAGTAAAAATGTGTCAATTAGTGTCAAAATTTTAATTGGTTGCAAAAAGTTTTATTTAGAGGGAGCAAGAATAAGTTACAAAATATGTGTTCAGCCCCTTTTACTCTGATACTCAAAAGAAACCTGTAAGATTAAAAAAAAAGCTTAAAGCATTCAAAGGTGTGACGTACATTAGCATTCAATTCATTACTCTGTTCCCTCTATACCAAATCTAAAGGAACCAATGCATGTAGCACCTATTAAGTTTACATGTATATAAACATAAAAGATGCAGCATGAATTCCAGTTCTGAATTATGCTCTAGTTTTTCACTTTAAAATTCTAATGAACAGACAAAACATGAGGGGAAAAAAAGGGGCATGAAAAGGCTTTTACAAAACACTGCAGTTTGGGTATGTTCACTTTGACTAACTATAATGTGCCACACATTTTTATACTCTTGAAGAAACACAGTTAAGAAAGAAGAATGTGTTTTCTACCTCATTTAAGCCCGTACTGCGAAGTGATGTAGCCCTGTGTTCACGCGCTAACGGATCGGAACCAGACATGCAATCCTTGGCCCTGCAGAAGGGCACTGCTGCATCATTTTCAAACATCTCTACATTCATTTATATGGAAATACAAGGCTAAATACTGATAGCGATAGACCTTAGTATATTGAAACATATATACACATTCAGTTGTTTGTGATATATAACATACAGAAATAAGTGTTTTGTTATAAAATAAATATTTGCATTCCCTGGAAACATCCACTCACAGGCAAAATACTTTAACCTGAACTGAAGGATCAAACCATCGTGGGGATCATGTGAACATTATTCTTGCAATTGTGCAAAATGTTTTCACAACCAACACATGGAGTGGCATTTCCAAACTGTAGTGCATATACTGTATAGATATATACATACAGAAATGAAAGCTACATGTTTCCAACATTAAATATATTCCCTTTTTTCAGTGGGGGAGGGGTGCCATTTCTCGAGCCATGCAACATGGCGGAGCTGTTTATAGGCCTGGGCACCTTCAAAGGTAAAAAAACAAACAAAAAAACAACAACTGGGGGAATAAAATAGCTCCACGTCTCCATCTGTGGTCTGTCACAGTCACTGCATGGTCAGCCATATCCAGCAGCCCCACAGCAGCTGCTTAATGTGCACCAGGTAGACAGCCAAGGCGGCCTCCAGCTCCTCGCATGCTCTTTGCGGCCGCCGCCGATCGGTGCAGTACATCGCCACACCGAGGAATGACATCAGTAGGAAGAGACAGGTGAACAGGGCGAGATGTGGGCGAGTCGGCGTCGTCTCATAAGCTGGAAAAGGAGATCACATTTGAGTTGTTTTGGATTGTAAATGAGAGGTATTTGTATATTCAAGTAAACAAAAGACTTTCATTTCAGACCTAAGGAGAATAGAAAGGAGCTTTTTACAGCTGGTTTTCTACAAACAAAGGGGAAATAACACCAGATGTAGGACCCATAAACCTTTAAGTACCAATAGCATGAATAATAAACAAGCCTTTCAAACTTATTTTTCGGAGATACAACAATCGCATCTCTTAAAAACAGGTAAAGTTATAATGTTCGATTATACCGTCAGATAGATCTGCAGTCTCTGATGGGCTATACATACATACAATATGTTTTATCAATGAAAAAGGAGCTTTCTAACAGTAAAATATCAAATAGATATTAAGTCACTTTTTGCTAATAGAAAAGGATGAAGCGAGCATTAATGCTTCAAATACCTGTGCAGGTGATATAGGTAAGATCTGGGGAAGAGGATGGGTTTTTCATCACATACCAATGAATATCTTCCAAAGGGATTCAAGAGAAGGAAAAAACAAAGAAAAAAAAGAAAAAAAACGGAGTGCCTGTGGCGCATAGCTTGGGCAGGGAGTCGACAGCCAAACCATCTAACAAATTGCAGCTGTTTGTTTGTGAGAACAATGTTTTTCATGTGTGAAAATACCTTTTGTTATCTTTAATATGTTCAGTACGACTCATCAGCTGCTGTCTGGACATCGTGTTAGATAATTAACAGAATGCTTATCCATAGTAACTATAGGCTTCAGCTGAGACATACTTTTCCCAATAAATTAGAGAGTGTTTGTCTTCAATTTCACTCTAAACTTGTATCAATATTTGAACCTCTGTGTGGCTTGAATTAACTTTAGGGGACCTTAATGGTGGGGAAACTTCAGACTGACTTAAGCAGGGCGTACACTGTGCAATTTTTTTCAATCGTTGCACGCATCTACTGCTCACACTGTACGATTAACCTCAGGGTTTAGTCGTACAGTGTGAGTTCACAGCTCATGATTTATGTTCGGCCCGACGCTCTGATGCGATCTACCTGCTCACACTGCACGACTAAAAACCACGTCGGACTGAGCTCCACAGTGAGATGGCGCTGCTCTGTAGCTCTCTATCCTGAAGCCAAACAAATAGAAGGGGAATATAAAGCTCACTATAGTGAACCGCGCTGCCTTGGCAATTTGTGCAATTTTGTGCTGAGGGTCCTAGAAAGAAAGGGCGACAATGTATTTGGAAAAAGGACTTGGCTGAGCAGGGGTGGCTGCTGCTGTCTGTCAATTTTGCAGACGGAGCTGCATTTCACTCATTGCATCCCTGCCATGCTGCTGTGTTTATCTGATGGGAGGAATAAATGCGCACTGAACAACTTGCCCACGACTGTCGGGCATTTAATTTCTGACCTGGATCTGCCCAGCATTGATACTCTGAACAGATTCCTGATCGGGAGGTGGCCGTAAGAGGCTGATCGCCCCTCGTAACCCCCTGTACACAATACGACTCACAATCAGGCTGAAAGTCGGGCCGATCGAAAGACTGGAAAATCACCCCGAAAATCGCACAGTGTACGCCGGGCTTTAGAGTTAGAGAGACTGCGTAGGAAGTATTCTGGAATTAGGTTTGACTGCTTCAATTCTGAGGCATATTTAAATCCTTGCATGTAAAACAAATGGATCATATGGAGTAAGATAAGACTTGAACAACCAATGCATGGTTTGATAATATTAAGTAGGTTCTGCTACAAAGTTGAGGGGAGGAATGTAGTGACAGACACTTCTGTTCAGAGTATCAATGCTGGGCAGATCCAGGTCGGAAATTAAAGTGTCCATCAGAGCGTGTTTGGCACCATAGTGGTGAAGTAGGTGCTGACAGGGCTCCCCACAGCGCGCTTTAAAACTCCTACATCGAGTGTGGGCTGTCCGGTCTGAAATTCGACCTGCAATCACTGCTTTTGTTCCATTGCTTTACACACTAATGCTGGAGCTTCTCTTTCCATAAGTAACCTCATCTCTTTTCTAAGTGTCCTAAGCTCTTAAAGTTATATAAAAACAATTCGGCAAAGTCACGTCTTAATGGAAATGGGTAGACTTGTATAACCTTTGACCAAATTTATGTCATAAATAGAATCATATTGTCTTGTCGGGCAGACAATAATTCCCTCTCAATGTTTATTGCAATAACATTTTATCTTCTTTATTAGTGATATAACTTTCCAGATATTTCAATAAAACTTTACAGTCGATTTCACTGTCACTGACTAAAACTCGGGGTTTTCTGTAGTTTGTGTTTTGTTTGTTAAAGCAAATATTTCTAAAATGTTATATTTCTAAAAGTTCAAGTTCAAGCAATACCAAAAATTATGATACATGCCATTTCATTACTGTATTTTAAAAATCAAATATTTCAATACAACACATATGAATACAAATTATTTGAATGTGTGGATTGTATGTGTCTTATACAGTTTGTATTTCAGATTAGAAAAAAAATGGGTAAGAATCTGTGATTAGTTTGACCAAACTGTGCATGTGGAGCAAAAAATGCTTTTAAAATCACCACATAAGCTAAATATTGTGATGATCTTTTGATAGATCTAAACAGAGTGCAGTGCTGTTGGTGCTCCCCATGCAACTTAGTGATCCAGTTAAACAAACTTACCACCTAAAGGGTCACAGTAAAAGTCTGTGAAGCCAACAGAGAATAGGTTTTGTGTCAACAGAAGTCAACTTAATTGACACACCAGCTACAAATCAGTTACTGCAGTCTTACTTTTAACTAAGGAATTTATGGAATGCCATTTGCATGGCTTGATTTAATTACTTTAACATGTTCGGACTCTAATGGTTCAATGCTCGAGTGCATTTACTTAATTAAATTCCTGTGAATGTGAAAATGGCAATGACAAAAAGCCAGGGAAGAATTTTTCAAATTGCTTAAAGCTATGAGTGACTGCACTCTGGAAACTGTTAAAAGGGATGTTTCTTACCATGCACTGTGGTCTCTGGCTCCCTGAATCGAACCCTGCGCTCGCCTTTCCGTCTGTGGCTGGGCTCTGTGTCTGACCCATTGTTGGGACTTGGCCTTTTTAGAATGGAGGTAGGAATTTTGCCGCTGGTCACCTGTATTAAAGTCAACTCAAGGTGAGTAAATACGCTACCTGCAAGGAGAACATTTTAAAAGCCAAAAAACCCCAAAAACAAATATGTTTATTTTGTAAACAGGTCCCAACCCCTACCTTATGTGTGAGTTTGTCTTCGTATTGGTGGTGGGAGTCTTTTCTGTGACACACCTCAGAAATTTTCTCGCGATGGGAATGATGAAGACAGTTGACGGTGTTTTTGAGGG